GATGTACTCGTCGATGAAGTCGATGTGGTCGTTGTAGAGCTGCTGGAAGTGGCTGTGGTGCTTGTGCTGGTTGATGTGCTGACAGTGGAGCTGCTGGAAGTACTGGAAGACGAGGTCGACGTGGTCGTCTTGCTGCTGGTGCTACTTGAGCTGCTGGAAGAGCTTGTAGATGAAGTGGACGTGGAGGTTGTACTTGACGCTGTCCTTGTTGTAGAACTGCTGGATGTGCTTGTAGTGGAGGATGAGGTGCCGGACGTACTGGTGCTTGATGTAGAACTGCTGGAAGTGCTTGTCGATGAAGTCGATGTGGTGCTTGTGCCGCTTGATGTGCTTGTAGTAGAGCTGCTAGAAGTACTGGTAGATGAGCTTGATGTAGTCGTCGTGCTGCTGGTGGTACTTGAGCTGCTGGAAGAGCTCGTGGATGAGGTACTAGAAGATGTTGAAGAGGTCGTGGTGGCAGTTGTCGAGCTAGTGGTCGTGCTCGATGATGAAGTCGGCGTGGTGCTTGTAGAGCTGGTGGACGTACTCGTTGACGAAGTCGACGTAGTACTTGTGCTTGTAGATGTGCTTGTCGACAAGCTGGTGGACGTACTTGTTGATAAAGTGGAGGTTGTGGTTGTCGAGGTGCTGGAAGAACTGGTTGATGCAGTCGATGTGGAGGTTGTAGAGCTGCTGGAGGTGCTTGTCGATGAAGTTGACGTGGTGGAGGTGCTTGTCGACGTACTTGTCAAAGACGAGGTTGAAGTGGTCCTGGTTTCTGTTGAGCTTGTGCTGGTTGTCGTTGAAGATGTTGTCGTGGTAGACGTTGTGGTCGTAAATGTTGTCGTGGTGCTAGTACTGCTGCTGGAGGTCACTGAGGATGAGGTCGAAGTAGTTCTTGTTCCTGTTGAGGAGCTGCTTGTGATGGTTGTAAATGTTGTAGTGGTGCTAGCACTGCTGCTGGAGGTTACTGAGGATGAGGTCGAGGATGTCATTGTGGCGGTGGACGAGGTTGATGTGGTCATCGTCAGGCTAGTCGAAGACGTTGTCCCTGAGGAGGTTGTTGATGTTGTAAGTGTGTGTGTTGAGGAGGTGGAGGTTGTCCTCGTCGCAGTCGAAGATGTTGAGGTTGTCTGAGAGACCGTCGAAGATGTGGTCGTCTGGCTTGTTGCCGTTGAAGTCGTTGAACTTGTGGTGGTCGACCAGAGTTCCAGTCCACTTGGAGCGGCCGTGGGCCACGACACAACACTGCCATCTGACTTGATCGCAGCAAAGCCGCCCGTATTCTCGTACTCAGGGCTGACGAGGGTGGTTACATCCGATGCCACATCTGCGGAACCGATGCTGGCACCGTTACCTGAGTTTCCCCACGCGACCACACTTCCGTCATTTTTCACAGCTGCCATCGCTGACCTGGTATTAAAGATCTCCCTGACGCAGCACGTCAAGGAGGAAGCCGCGGAGCCGAGGTCGCCTCCAAAGGAGGTATGTCCCCAGGCCACCACGCTCCCATCAGCTTTGACTGCAGCGAAGGCATAGCCACTCCCGTAGATGGCATCGATGCCCGTGAGGCCGGCGACCCCGCTTGAGTCTCCGCCGTAGGAGGAATCACCCATAGTCTCCACTGTGCCATCATTCTTGAGGATGGCTGCGGCTTCCATGTTGATGTAAACGCTCGCCACGTTGGTGTACACTCCAGAGTATCTGCCCCAGATCACTGCGCTGCCATCCGACTTCATCGCGCCAACCAGCGACCCGCCTCGAACATGTCCCGGAATGATAGATGTGACGCCGCTTGTCAAGGAGGACGCCACTGCAGCTGTTGAGCCGCCGTTTCCCGAGTTTCCCCAGGCAACGATGCTGCCGTCGTCTTTTAGGGCGACAACTGCATGGCTATTTCCTTTGATGTCGATGACGCCCGAGGTCAACTGCGCAGACACGTCGGTCGGAGTTTCCAGGGATCCACCCTCGCCATTGAGGCCCCATGCCACGACACTTCCATCCGCCTTCAAGGCTTGGAAAGCGTGCGCTTGTGCGAAGATGTCGATTACATCTGAGGAGACCTGGCTTACCACAGAGACGGTCTGCCCACCGGCCACCGTGGTCATGGTCCCGCCCCAGTCCGAGTTGCCCCCTGACAAGGCGCTGCCATCATCCTTGAGCACGCCGAAGGCATAGAGGCCACCAACGAGCTTGTTCACGCTTTTCAGCTGTGAGGACACTGAGCTCGAGTCGCCTCCGTAGCCTGAGCTGCTTGGCCAAGCCACCACGGTGCCATCGTTCTTCAAAGCTGCGAAAGCTGATCTGGTGGCTGCCAGGTGGTAGACGTCGGTCAAACTTGCGGCCACAGAGCTGGTGTCACCGCCGTGCGAACTAGCGCCCCATGCGATGACGCTGCCATCCCTGTTCAGGGCCGCAAAGGCACCATCATTGGCGACAATCATCTCCGTGATCGCCACACGAGTGCGGGTCCTTGTGACAGTGGTAGTAGAAGTTATTGTCTGCGTAGTCGAAGTGATTGTCTCTGGCCACCAGCTGCAGCCACCCCCGAAGCCAGCAGTTGGAATCCCCGACGCTGCGCACGTCGCATCCGTGCATGACTCTATGATGACGTAGCCATTGCACTTTGACAGTGCTCCGTGCGCTTGGAAGTTGGCCCCTTCAGATGCCATGTAAGAAGTGCCACCACTGGTGCAGACGCTCGTATCCCACCCACCACTGGTGGTGCATTTGCCGCCGCCCATCACAAGCCCAACCTCGCTCGTCCCGCCACCCCAGAAGCCGCCGCCACCGCCACCACCATTGCAGCTGGCTGCGCCGCCGCCAAAGCCTCCACTTTCTCTCCAGCTGGTTTGTTCTTGCGCGTATGCTCCGGTCAGAAAGGTCTTCGTGTAGCCGTTGTTGGCGTCATCACCCCGGAATCCGGCACCATTGCTATTGCAGCCGCCTGTGTCATACGCCGCGCTGCCGCCACTGGAGTCCAAACCACCATCCATGCCATCTGCGGAGACTTGCTGGCAATTCCAGAAGGCATCATCATCGTTTCCACCCCCGCCCCCTGCAACCAAGAGGAGCTTGACCATCTTGCTCTGGAGATCAGCTGGCACATCGCCTGCCATCTGGTCAGTGCCTTGGTCCAGAATTGCCACGAAGGTCCCGCCACCTCCTCCACCCCCTCCGTCGTCGCACTGGTCGCTATCCTCCCCTTTCTGTCCCACCACCATGACTAGTTGAGTGCCACTGGTCAGGGAGAACTTTGCCGAAATCACTGCTCCTTTGCCTGGTTCGCCGCTGCCGACTGAGCCGCCGGCCGCTCCGGCCGCAAGTATCATGTAATCTCCTGTCGTCGCCACTGTATATATTTGGTAGCCACGCCTGGCCGCACTCGTGGTGGGCACTGTGACGTCCGTGTTGCCGTAATGCGCGTCGCATTCGGTTTGTGACGGGCCATAGTGTCCAGAAGCGCCACAGGAAGTGAGTACTTTGCGAAACGTTGGTGACGGGCCCGCTGTCACGGTATGGCTCGTTGTTGTTTGAGAAGTTGTCTGCGTAGTTGACGTGATTGTCTCTGGCCACCAGCTGCAGCCACCCCCGAAGCCAGCAGTTGGAATCCCCGACGCTGCGCACGTCGCATCCGTGCATGACTCTATGATGACGTAGCCATTGCACTTTGACAGTGCTCCGTGCGCTTGGAAGTTGGCCCCTTCAGATGCCATGTAAGAAGTGCCACCACTGGTGCAGACGCTCGTATCCCACCCACCACTGGTGGTGCATTTGCCGCCGCCCATCACAAGCCCAACCTCGCTCGTCCCGCCACCCCAGAAGCCGCCGCCACCGCCACCACCATTGCAGCTGGCTGCGCCGCCGCCAAAGCCTCCACTTTCTCTCCAGCTGGTTTGTTCTTGCGCGTATGCTCCGGTCAGAAAGGTTTTCGTGTAGCCATTGTTGGCGTCATCACCCCGGAATCCGGCACCATTGCTATTGCAGCCTCCTGTGTCATACGCCGCGCTGCCGCCACTGGAGTCCAAACCACCATCCATGCCATCTGCGGATACTTGCTGGCAATTCCAGAAGGCATCATCATCGTTTCCACCCCCGCCCCCTGCAACCAAGAGGAGCTTGACCATCTTGCTCTGCAGATCAGCTGGCACATCGCCTGCCATCTGGTCAGTGCCTTGGTCCAGAATTGCCACGAAGGTCCCGCCACCTCCTCCACCCCCTCCGTCGTCGCACTGGTCGCTATCCTCCCCTTTCTGTCCCACCACCATGACTAGTTGAGTGCCACTGGTCAGGGAGAACTTTGCCGAAATCACTGCTCCTTTGCCTGGTTCGCCGCTGCCGACTGAGCCGCCGGCCGCTCCGGCCGCAAGTATCATGTAATCTCCTGTCGTCGCCACTGTATATATTTGGTAGCCACGCCTGGCCGCACTCGTGGTGGGCACTGTGACGTCCGTGTTGCCGTAATGCGCGTCGCATTCGGTTTGTGACGGGCCATAGTGTCCAGAAGCGCCACAGGAAGTGAGTACTTTGCGAAACGTTGGTGATGCGCCACCTGGTAAAAGAGCTGCTGCCCAGCAGAGGAAAATTAGCCTGAGTGCCATGTCTTGTCGCCTGTGGCACGCACGGCTCCCACTACAACGCTGCCTGGGAAGCTTGAGAAAAGAAAACTTTAGTAGCCCGGGAACGAGTGCATCCACACCACATCATGTCTCACAATCCTTCCACTAGCTCGAAGCTGGAAATCATCCTTTCTCTTCACGCACTAAATCATGAATGGTGCTTTGCCTTCCACATAACTTCAAGGCATCGCACCCATGCTGTACAGCAGCCAACCCTGTGCTGTGGCAAACTTGCTGGGCTGCCAACTTGCAAACTTTAGCAATCCCAACTGAAAACTGTAGTGCTGCAAAACACACAGGGCACAAACTCACGTACGCCTGCAAATGCAAGATAAGTCAGTTCTGTTCTCAGCAGGGTGTAGCATGCGAACAAACCCTTAAGGCCGTGACAGAAATCATGCCTCATTTCCACGTCGGCTCTGCATCGGTGCGGAAGTCCTTCTCAAGCCACGGAGTGAGGGCCAGCTTGCCGTCCGAGACGGTGGTGTGGGCCAGCGCCAAGGACAGCGGCGCGGGGCCTCGCACCACCTTGCCGTTCTCATCGTACTGGGAGCTGTGGCTTGTTGGCACCCACACAGCCAAGGTGCGTGCACGCGGACAGCACAGCGAAGTCCTTGATGTTGTCCTCAGTAGAGATCAGGTAGTAGGGCTCGCCCTTCAGGCCCTAAGCCAAGTCGCTGTCGTTGGGTTTGTGGCTCGTGACCCAGCCCTCCAGCCTTAGAGGGTTGCCATCCACGCCACCAGCACCGGACCACGGCTACCGCCGGACACCGAAGGCACAAAGTACCACAGGTAGCAAGTTCATGAACTGGCGGCGCCTCAACGACGGCAGGCTTGCATGTTCAGCACTAGCAAGTAGGCTCGCGCTTCAGCAGGCATCAGGATCGCAACCACAGAAACACAAAAACAAAATGTAGCTGTGGCGCTGCGGATCTGGCACAAAACCTCAATCAATGTTCACCGTGCACCATATTCTCAAGCGCGTCGCACATGATCGCACATGCACATCCGCACAGCTTCGCAAGTCTTGGCACTCTCCACCGGCACGCAGCTGTGTCTGTGGGGGCCCTGGCAAGGGGAATCTCCAGCTCTGATTCACTTGCTCCTTGGCAGTTGTGGTCAAGTTACTCGACACCTTGCCAGCCCAATACGCAGCATCCTGCAGCCAGGCAGCCACTGCCCGCATCACCCGCACTTGCTTGGCCATGGCTTGGCACTGCTTCAAAGGCCCTGATATTTGAGCAATGTGGCAACTCATGACCCGAGTCCATGTAAAGCAATCCTTACTAGCCGGGGAATGAGTGCATCCGCACCACATCATCTCTCATCATCCTTCCGCAGGCTTCAAGCTGGAAATCATCCTTTCTCTTCACGCGCTAGATCATAAATGGTGCTTTGCCTTCCACCTAACTTCAAGGCATCGCACTAACCCCGACTGAACCCTGAACTCTGAAGCCCAAACTGATCAAAGTCGAAACCCCTTTGAAGGCCCGGAGTCCGCAGCTCCGGAGCTCCCAGAAGCTCTCGCCGAGCTCGGCTTTCAGGGCAGCGGCGGCGGCCGATCCGAAGCGCGCCTAACAAAGACCGGTGAAGGCTCCCGTAAGGGGTTTCCTGGATCTTGACGGTAACAGAAGCTACTTGTTGCAGCTTCTCATTACCATTTCGACTCCCGGGCATAGATCAGTAGATCTTCTAGGGGGCCACACCACAAAAGGACTGTTGGAACTCATGTCCGGATCTTCTCACCTGCTGCGGCTCATCCCCGGAGCTGAGGAGCACCACGTTGGTGGCGGAGAGCTCCTTGTTTCGGAGTCTTCTGATAGGACATGGGCGATACTGTAGGGGCTGCTTGCTTCTTTTTTTCAGGCTGGTGTCTACTGTAGAGTGTCTATAAGGTGTTTTTTGCCACCTGCAACTGGGCAAGAGAAGGCACGGGACAGTTGCTGGCCGATGTCACTGCCACCTTGTTTCAAATTTCAACTGGCAAACGGGTGTAACCAACAACTGGGAGCAGAAACATCCTAATTCACACCTCAACTGCAGTCGCACTGAACTGTGATGAGCGCTTCAACTGGATAAGCATACTGTCATGTCTTGTCCTGCGCCTCCTGCTGCCGTCGCCTCCGTCTCCGGTTTTCGTTGCTTACATGCGGACATGCTGCGCCAGCTCAGTTGGTTTGGGGATTTTACAGACGTCTATGAGGAGGCACTGAAGTCATCACATGGCACCGTGAGGAGGGAGGTGTGTGCTTGATTCAGAGGAGAGGCGGAAAATTCTTGAAAGCAGAAGACGAAGAGGTCCGGGCTTTCTCGGGCGCCGTCGCTCTGGACCTGGCAAGCTCCTCGCACCAAGCCTGCAGCAAACGGCTGTTGTGACTTGCTTGAGACAATTAGAACATGTTCGGCGGGTGTGTGTGTGTGTGCGTATACATATATATATATATATATGTATGTATGACATATGCATATATATATATATGTATACATGTATGGTGCCCCCCCACCGCCATCCGCATTTTCGGTGTGTAACATCCTTTACACTTGCAGTTTCTGTTTAAGCAGTTGTACATTCCCATGTTTGATTGTCTTTTTTTCTGCAAAACCACACAAAAACAAACAACAGTAGTATGGTTTTGGATTTTGCTGGTCTCGCTGGTCACATTGTGTATTTTCTGGTGCTTCTTGGACTTTCGCAAAAGACTCAAGACATCAACGCGATTTAAGGATTCTGGAAGTGGACATCAGCAAAATCCCACGCCTATAGACATTTGGGGTTTTATCAAACGAAACAGCATTAAGATGTTTCGACTCGCACGCTTTCTGTGAACATGCTTGGATTTTTTGGGTGTCCAGTGTGTACCGGAAGACGACAGTCGAGCAACATGGAGAAGTGCAATGGTTCGAGCAGTTTCGGGCTGCAGGATTCAGTGCGGGCGCATGTCCCGGTCCACGGAAGTTGGGGGGAAGCATGCATATAAATATGAGCATGCACATAAACACATATGTGGTACTATACAGCAGCATGTCCGCTTGCACATGCATGGCGATGTATGCAATAGTCTCAAAGCTGCTTCCTAGCGACTTCGCAAGGTCTCTGGCGACTGCCAGGGTGCGCGGCCATGGAGGTTCCAGGAAGCCAAGGCTAAACGCAGCTTGCCCTGAGGACTTCGACGGAGCTCCGGGATGGAAGGAGCCTGCAGCCAGGCTTCTGGGGCACAAGGGCACAAGGCATTCTTTAGCGTTGGAGGAGGGAACTGAAAGGCGGCTCTTGCAGTCTGCGTTTCCTTGTTTGGGCTCCTTATCTTACTGTCTGGGTTCTCTATCGGGGTCCCTTGATCCCGTGTCTCCAAAGTGATGTACGCGGCATTGCCTTTGCCAGCTTCTGGCTGCGCAAGAGCAGCTGTATGGCCGACTGCCGCGCATCGTCTTCGAAGTGAGCGCAGTAGGCCTGAAGAGAGGAAGACTAAGCCCAGAGCCCAGCCGTAACGATTCTGGTAATGCTCAGGGCAGCACACGGTTCACTGCCCTCCAGCCCTTCTCCAGCATGGCTCTGGCTGTGTGGCCGCCTGTCACAGGTCACGTCACATCCGCTCGTCCGCTCTGCTCCGTGCAGAAACAGACCTTGTCGCAGGGCAGCACCCATGGTACTCGCAGTTCCCGTGTACCTAACAAAAGCAACGTAATTCGCGTCACTACGGGAGCATGCGGGCATGCAACGTGCGAGGCTTCTTCCAAGCAGCTGCTCCGAAAGTGCGTCACCCAAGTCGGCCCACATGCTCCTGCACAGTATCGCGACGAATTGCCTGTCTGATTTCATCCTCTTTGCACCCATCCGACTCGGTTTCCTTAGGGTCGCTTGCAGATGGCCCGTCTCGGCCGCGGCGCCGCGGTAGCCTGCACAGTGCTGTAGCTCAGCAGTGATAGAACCGGTTTTCGGTGACAAGACCGAAAAACCAATGCTTCGGCATAAGCATTTTTTACATTGTCAACGCATTACTTGCAGCTACTTGCCTGAAGAGACAGGAGATTGGAAGGTGGGCAGTTGAGCTTGCAGCCAGCGCCAAGCCACCTGCAAGCGGTGGAGGGAGCAGAGCGCAGTTTCTTCTCTTGTTCTCCTCCATGCCATATGGCTTTTTCAATTTTTGCATCTGCATCGCACCTGGTACTGAAGGAGGTTGGTTCGATCCAGGGAATCGAAGCAGTTGGTGCGCACGACCCCTCGTTGTCTTTGCAGCCTGCAGTGCACGAGAAGGCCTAAGGCACAGCAACAAGGGGACACTGGGTGCGGACATGGGGCACTCGGGGTGAAGCCGAAACCTCGCAGAGCAGGGCCCAGGGCGAAAAGAGAAGCAGCGAAGAAGCCGCAGAGTGGCGCCTTCGATCTTGGATGAAACCTCATCGTAGATGCTATCGAGTTCCCGAGTGAACGCATCCTGGCAGAGCTCTCTGCACTCAGAGTTTCGTGGATCCCTAGCATACACGACATGATACAAGGGTTTGACCCCTATCCCGGCTTCGCACAGAGGGTTTAACCCTATCAGCACAGTGGGAAAGGCAAAATTGCATGCAAATCAGTGCTCGACTTTCTTTCTTCTCTCTTTTCTCTCTCTCTCTCTCTCTATCTTCTTCCGCCGGGCATGAGGGGCTGTTAAGACCCCTCGGCCACTAGGGCCCCCCCATATTTTGTGGGGACTTTGGAGGAGTGTGACAAGTTTCGTAGTTGTGTCCCCCAGTGGATCTTCGTGGAGTTAGTACAACCATTGTAGAATATAGTATGAGATGTATCAGCAAAATTTTGATCCCCCGGGAACGTTAAACTACACTGTACTATCAGTCCTGCTGCCATGGTCCTCTCTCTCTCTCTCTCTCTATTCTCTCTCTCTCTGTCTCCAGGGTAAAGGGGGAGGAGCGGACTCTTCTCTCTCTCTCTCTCTCTCTCTCTCTCTTTCTATCTCACTTTGCTTTGCTTTGCTCGGGGTTTAGGGCAGGAGCAGTCCTCCCGCCCCGCGCGAGCGCGCTACCCCTTCCATTATTTGGAGTGGAAGGGCTCAGCTGTACAGAACGTGTGCCCTGCTGTTCAGGGCCACGAGTGGGTAGTGCCGCTTGACCAACCGAACACGAGTAAGTAGAATGAACACAACTCGGGCTCCCACTTCGTGACGTGTTTTGTTGGGGCCCCCGGCTGGTGTAAAGACAGAAAACCTCAAGGCCGCCTGAAACAGAACCAGGCCTAAGTGCTGAGTGCGTTCTAGCCGCGGGTGCCCCTGCCTTGTGTGTTCCCTGCCTTGAACCTGTTCCCCCACCTGTCCCCTGCCTTATCCCGAACTGAAGCCTTATCCCAGCGCAGCACTGCCTTCGACCTGCCACTCAACCCTGAAGCCTCAAGCGAGCGGGTGCCCCTCCCTCTAGTTGCGGCAAACACACGAGTAGATCACTTTAGAGGGCCGGGCACGCTGGGTGTGAGAAGAGGTGTCTGGGCTGTGAGGCTTTTTGAGTGCACCGGAAAGGGCAGAACAAAGCAAAACGGCATAAGGTAAAACCGGTACGACATCAGCTGGTGCCCTCTTTCTGCCTCTGGTGCCCCCCATCTACTCCTGTGCATCCCGACCTACCTGCCTGACCCTGCCTTATCCCGAACTGAAGCCTGATCCCGCACTGCCTCCGACCTTCCGCTCAACCCTGAAACCTCTACCTGCACTTGGCCGCTAGGAGGTGTGCTCCCCTCGTGCAAAACCAGGCTAGGTAGGAGTAACTGGTACAACACGGGCTGGTGCACAGGTGAGCAGGGACCTCAGTCGTCGGCCAGTGCTGCCAGCAGCCGTCGGCGTCTGTGGCTCGTTCTACTGGCTTCGCTCAGTTCTTCTTCCGGCGGGTGCCCCCAAGGTTGTGCAGGTGGTGCCCCCGGCGTGCCCAGGAAGGTTTCGTCTTCTGCCGGACTTGTTTGCTCGGCGACGGTGCGTGCCATGGCATTGTGGCACACTCAGCGTCGTCTTGGGTGGCTGCGGTGTCGTTCACGTCCGTGGTCGTTGACGGAGCTGGTGCTCCTCTGCTCGGTGCCACAGGCCCTTCAGGTCGCACGTGTTCTGGTAAAGGAGGTACTTCACGGCCTGTTTCCCGTCCGAGCTGTAGCGTGCAGTGTGTCGTCGCCGGCGTCTCGGTACGGTCGTCGTCTGGCCTCGGAGCAGTCTGTAGAGCGGGTGCTCCCGTTGCCTGGGTCAGCCCTTGGTCGTCCCGTACTAGGTCTCGTTGCTGAGGTAGTCCTGGATCGGCGTCCCGGGCTGGTCCTCGTGCTCGTTCGGGTCCTTGGCGTTCTTGTGGTAGGGCTCGCTGTTGTGGTAGTTCAGGGTCGGCTTCCGGGGCAGGTTCAGGTAGTGGTTCCACTGCCGCTGTGGCTGTAGAGTCGTCGCTCTCGTCTGGTACCACTTCTACTGGTGCTCCGAAAAACTGTGTCGACCATTGCATCAGGTCGCATATGGCCGATCCCACCATGTCGTGCATTTGTCCATGTAGGAAAGGTTGGAGGCGGCGCAGCATATAGAGTGCTTGTAGTGGTAGTTCTGGCCTCTGGTCCCCCACGGCTGGGGAGCTAGGTTGCCCTCCAGCGTGTGCCACCACGTCGGCTTGGTGCGGTTCTCCACTGAGTCTCGCCTTCTTTGGCAAAGGAGCTGTTACCTCTGCAGCTCGGTCCAGGTTCAGCTGTTCCTCTCCTGGTTCTCCCCAGGCTTCGGCGTGTGCCTCCGACGCTTCTTGGCAAAGGTGCACCACCCTGTCCAAGCTGTCCCTGAAGTGGTCGGGTACTCGCTGTTGCCCTTCCGTGGCCTGGAGCACGTTGTTGAGCAACTCCTCTGCCCTTTCGGCGTAGTCTTCTCCTCTGTGTACTGCGCTCCAGTTCCTCGCTCGTCTGTGCGAGCGGAAGCGCTGTGTGCCCTCCCTCAGAAGGCGGTCCACCTCTCGCAAGTCGTGGACTATTTCTGCTGTTGCTGTGTGGCTTCCGGTTGCTTCGACCGCTGCTAGCAGGTCAAGCTGCAGTTGCAGCAGGTGGGCAGCAATGTGGTGCGGGTTTGGTGGTGGTGGACTTGTGTTGGTGTTGAGCGGTGGCTGTTGCAGTCGTTCCAATGCCAGCTTCACTTGCGCCAGGTTCACACTCTCTCTCTCTCTCTCTCTCTCTCTCTCTCTCTCTCTCTCTCTCTCTCTCTTTCTTTCGCCAGGGTAGTGGGGGAGGAGCGAACTCCCACCTCCCGCGCAAGTGCGCCCCCCCATGTTGTGGGCTCGGCTGGGAATGACTGCACAGACCACTTCTCTCTCTCTCTTTCTCTTTCTCTTTCTCTCTCTCTCTCTCTCTCTCTCTCTCTCTCTCTCTCTCTCTCTCTCTCTCTCTCTCTCTCTCTCTCTCTCTCTCTCTCTTTCTCTCTCACTCTCTCACTCTTCTTCCGCCGGGCATGAGGGGCTGTTAACCAGTGGATCTTTCATGGCATTACAAGGACCATAGTAGACTGTATATCGGTAATAGCATGCAATACTTGTAATTTTGATCCCCCGGGAACTTTGAACTACACTGTACTATCAGTACTGCTACCATGGCCCAGGGTCCCGTCACAAGAACATACCACAGTAGAAACGCAAGGATGCACAACATACAGATTCCCCCAGGCCATCTACCGGCTGTGCTACTTTTGGGCGTATCCCCCTGTGTCTGGAGAACAAATAACAAGTAGTATCGTAAGTACGTGAATCAGAACGACAAGTGAACTAAGATAGTTCGGGTCGCGGGGTGTTTCTGCCATGTTCGCTACTTTTACATTGTCATGAACCCGGGCTCTGCATCAACACTTCCAGCATCGGAGACCCACTCTCTCACTCTCTCTCTCTCTCTCTCTCTCTCTCTCTCTCTCTCTCTCTCTCTCTCTCTCTCTCTCTCTCTCTCTCTCTCTCTCTCTCTCTCTCTCTCTCTGCTTTGCTAGGGGCAAGGACCACGGGCAGCTCTCTCGCTCTCTCTGGGTCTCCCCCCTCTGAAGATCATGACGCTGACCATAACAATGTATATATATATATATACTTAAACAAAAACGACAATGATCATATTGATGATGATCGCTGGGCTCCAGTCTGAGCACGCTGAGGACGAAGGCATTTGCTCGTCGTGTTCTTCGGCCAATTTGGCCTGGACTCCAACACACCCCCGAGCTTAATCTGTTTGCAAGCGGCGTTGGCTCCAGCCTCTGCTGCTGCGCTTAATGGCAGAACCATCGAGCCGCGACCCCGGAAGCCTTGCTGGCGCCAGTACTCTTCACTGTCCGGCACGCTGTTGAGGAAAATGTTGTCACCGTGTGATTTGGCCACGTATTCCTTGCAGTGCAATCGCACATCTCACATGCATGAAGCCGAGTCGCGAGGAACCCAGCGGCCCCTCCCCGCCTGGGAATACGATTATGACAATGGTTAACAAATCCGGACTTGTCCAACAATCAAGTGGTCTGTTTCGATATCAGTATTCACAGGAAAAATGAAAGGAAACTGGCGTTCCAAACAGTAATGAACAACTCGGATCACAATCACAATCACACTGCACAAAAACAATCGCCTGTCAGCCGCATCGCAAACATACCATAATGAACACGAGTGCTGAAATCAATCTAATTTACCAGATCGTCAAACAAATGCGCACTGGCACTGCCTTGACATCACACTGATCATAGCTGAGCGTAGCTATGTTTGTCTCAGAAATTAGTTTATCGCAATCAGTCGATGCAATGGTAGTCGCACTGTCGCTATCGCAACGTCTTTGAGGGCTTTCCACAAGGATGTTTCAGCTTGTCCTGTCTCCGCTTTGTGCATTATCCGTTGTCACACAAGAATGTCTCGTCATTTGTATTTCTAGATCGTCTACCAAGCTTTCGATGCGTGGAGCATTACACTTTGTCATCCCACTCACTGCGGCGTGGCACTGTCAAGTTGGAATCGAAACAGAACACCTGTCGGGCAGGCAATGCTGGGTTCGCAAGCAGGGCCGAGCACATGAACTGTCCAGAAACCTTGGCAAGCCGAGTGACAAGTCACGTTTCTGAGAGTGTTGCACAAAATCTGATGTTCATCTGTTGACATGTGTTCTAGCTTTCACCTATTTTGTGTTATGACACTAACCACCACATTGTGGATGGTGAGTAAATGCTGAAATCGATTGGAGCGCGATTTCGGTCGATGCGATTGCTGAGGCCATCTCATCCGCCATGGTTCTAACTGCGGCGAACCAGCTATCCATGAAGCCCTCATTTCAAACACTCGATTGCCGATGCCATGTTCTTCCGGGAAACGTCGAAAGTTCAGGACACATAATGCCCCAATAAGCTGAAACAGTGAAAGAAAACCAATGCACCACGAAAACAGATGACTGCATGCTTGTGCATAAAACGTCTCATATTTGGCACCCGGTCCTTCACAGCGCTGAGGTGCAAACTCGTCGCCCCTTCTTTGGGCTTGGCCATAGCTGCGAGAATCTCGGCGCCGGCTGCATCCGGGCGCCAGACCATGGCGCTGATTGGTTGCTCAAGGCCGTTTTTAAAACTCAGCTGTACGTACGTGGTTGCTGTGAGCTCTTGCGACAGCTCGCCGGAAAGAGCTCGCGCGGCATAGTCAGGGTTCAACGCCCCTTCGCCATGCATGCGACAGCCTGCATTTTGCAGATCTGCCACAAAACGTCTCGCCTCAGATGCACAATCCAGTGCAGCCGCAACCACTGTGCACCCAGAATGCGCAAGAGCGCCTAGGCATGATTTCAACCGGAGGCGCTGTAAATGCTGAAACACATGTGCAGAAGCAAGCGTGCTTCTCAGATGCTAGGATGAATCAGCAACTGACGAGCGCTGGCAGAACGGCGCAAGTTTGCCATCAAGTCACAGCAACCTTTGCTGAAGTGTGCAGCCACGACGTCGGGGCCGTGGGAGGCCATGGTTGCAACCCAGTCGACGTCTGGGTCGCTTGGGCGACTTGGGCCACTCGGGGTTGCTCCGCAGCGAATTCATTGCAGCCTTCCTCCAAACGGGATAAGGCATCCACTGGCTCCGCAGCCTCGGGCGGCGCACCCGACAGGCAAACCAGCTGGCAATGGCTGTAAAACAGCAGGCATGGTGCCTCTTGATTTGGTCTGAGCTTGGTAAGCATCCAGCCAACCTTGAAGCCAAGCGGTGCAAGGTGACACTGTACGCACTGTGACAAGCACGAGGTTGTCCCTTGCCTTAACGGATCTGGCCTTCGAAAACAGATGGACTCCATAGTTCTGCAATCCGTGCCTGTCTATCCCGAATCTTCTCCTCATGTGTGGGAGATGCTGGGAGCCAGGCCAGGCCACTTCTTCACTAAACTCACAAGGCTGCGTCACGGCTGCGTCGCCCGGAAGTGCAAAAGGGGGAGGAGAACAACCATGAGCTCGTCTGAGTGGCTCGACAGGGGGCCTAAACCATGCAAAATTAAACTCCAGCCCCCTGGGTTTCCCCCTACTTCCCCGCCTCCCTGCCCCACCCCCGCTGCAACTCTGCACCGACTACGACTACGACTATGACGATTACTCTCACTCTTATTCTTACTCTTGTACTAACATTACTAAATTGCTATTAGTATTACCGTCACTGTTACCAGGCACCAACCGAACTAAACCATTATCGTTTTCTCATGTCTAATCTTAAGTCCGAAGCACTGACCGAGAGAATATCGGCCCTTTTTCGTTTGCAGCGGAAATCGATTGGCCTGAAACAATCTCTTTTCAAGAGATTCTTCATTCAAGCTCTCATCATGCATTTTTGCTCCAAAGCTTCCTTATGTCCTCAGCCTTGTCGGCCGGGACGCCGTGGATCAGCTCCGCGATTCGCTCCTCGGGGTAGTCTAAGGTTTCCATGCCTTTGCGCAGAGCATCGAGCACCGGACCATCTAGGGGCTTGCCAGTATGTATCAGACCACGCACTGCCATCGTCACCACATTGCGGTAATTGTCTTCCCCGAGTCGCTTCAAGGACATTGGCCTGAGCTGGGACTGTGAGAGCTGACAGACGGTTTCCCAGTCCTCCTGAACGTTGGCATTCCACTAGAGGCCTTCTGCATCATCAGCTGGGACAAAGTCCCGGAGCACTAGATACTTTTTGGGATGGCCTGACAACAGCTGCTCGAAGAGGCTGAGTGGCCAGTTACTCGACTAACTTTCCACACCCTGGGCACGAAATCCACACCCACCATGGCCGCGTAGATGAACGCGACAACGGCAGCAGCTTTGTGGACGTTCTCGCTGCGTTGCTCAGTCGCAACCACCGGCATCGGCCTAACGGCTTTAAGTGTAATGCGGGCTTGATGCTATCAGGCGGACGTCACGAAGAATCGCACCTTTCCTTCAGCAGTTTCCCGCCACGCATCCAATGGGCTTATCCAGCTGAAACTCAAGGGATTTGCACTCAGGGATCTTGCCCGTGTCTTTGCACTCCGAGCAGTGAGCTCTCGAAAAGAAACCGACCTTGACTTGCCTTGGCATGGGCCGTTGGCAAAGTCACACTCGACTCCATTCGACCGCCCCCTCCAAGCCCTTTGAAGCCAAGGTAGTGATGGACAAACAGACTCCTGTCGACAGTGTAGCCTGCCTTGGACTCAAACTTCCCTCCAGTTCGGACGAAGACGGCCGTTTCACCGGAATAACATTCGAGAAAATGAGAACGGAGCCTTTTCGCTGCTTGAGCTGGAACTGACGCGCGATGTACCCTGTGCTCCTCACCGGATTTGCCGAAATTGTCGAGGCCAGGTTGGGCCCCGGTCATCTCCCAAAGTGGGCAATAGGATAGGCGGGGAAATGTGCTGACCTCCAACTGCTCCATGACGAAGTAACCACTTGCAAACCATCCATTGTCCATTGATGAGGACGCTGTAATCTGAGATGAGATCCTCGCGCCAGTGCTGCCGCCTTGGAATGTTTGTGCTCAAGGGAATCAGCTTCCACCAGCATGCCGCAAAATACTATGGTGCTCAGGATAGCTATCGGAAGAAGGGGTACGAATAAGGGCGCTGCATCAAGGTACGGATGTCCTACGCATACCAGAAGCTCAGAAACTGCCACACTGACTTAGGAGATAGCGACCCCAATCGAGGAAAACAAAAAGACGCCAAATGTTTTCGTCTATGACAGGAAGCCATTCACCTGGAGCACATGAAGCCAAACTACAGGTCTGCCAGGGGTTGCATTACTGCGCTCGATTCAGAATACTCCATCAATGGCCGAGCCACATGCATTCCCAACCTGTGCAGCCTGCAGCGACTGTGAAAGGCAGCACCTGCGCAAACATTGCATCACAAGCAATGGAGTAGGGATTGGGCTTAAGGTGGCATGGGTTCAGGGTGTCTGGGTTTAGGGTCAAACTTTGGGCATGGTCATGAAGTTTACTCAAGTAAGTAACGGGTCTTTGTGCAGGAACAGGAGACACTGGGCCCACAGAGCAAACGGATCTTGAGATGCGGAAAATTGCACTACTTCATTACTTGGTCCCCCCAAGATACTGGAATTTTAGGGGTAGGTGGACATGATGCTCCATCCACAAAACATTCAAGCTACCCACTGCCTTCCACTCTCTATGATCTGTGTGCACGTGGGATAATTCTAGCAGTCGCTCTGCTTCTGCTGCATCTATCCCGTGCCTGCACTCAGCACCGCGTACCTCTACTTCGGCTCGTGTTTGGTAGGTATATGGAAGGTAGCACACTTTTCATGATCAGCTATTCGTGCTCAACGATGAAGCGGGTCTCCTCAGAGGGTTTACCGGCATCTTGACCCGCCAAGTTTCGTCGATGAACAGGGGGCTTATTCATGCTACAGGACAACAAACATATTTGAGAAACCCACACGCGGTCAAATGGCGCTATCCAAGCTGATCCATCGACTTTTAGTCACTATTTCAGCGTCGGCTTCCATTAACCTTAGTAGAGTCTCGAGAGCCTTAGCAGGATGCAATACGATGTGTTGGTACCCAGGTTCTCGGCTTAGCCTGGTGCTATGTCTGGAAAAAGCAGGTACACAAGGATGCGTCCATCCTTGCTTCACAAGCACTAACTGAGCGTCTTCGTTGGCTCTGGTCCGTACGAAATCCTGTGAAATTGTACTGCCACGAACCCTTAGCTCTGATCAGGGCTTCCACACACACACACACACAATCACACACACACACACACACACACACACTCGAATTCTCTGCAGCAAGATCCCATGGAGTTTCCAAAGATCCATCTTGTGCTACACATGCAGAACCTCCCTTGTGCTCCCTCCTGCGGGAAAGCAACGCCGCCATTGTGCCTATTTCGCCGGTACAGCAACATGTGGATATAGTATGGTATTAGTATAGTATACTAGATCTTAGAGTATATAGTATACTACGTCGCATAGTCTCTTTCCCCCTATGCATGACAAGGGATCCTGCCGCACAGCGCTACATTCATTCTTTACTGAGATCAGCCCATATCGCGACAGTGACTTTTTTCCAACCCTCTCCAAACGGCTGCACCCGGCAGCAGTGAACTTCGAACCTGGTATTCAGCTATACATTCCCACAAGTGCTGTAACAAGTGAAGGACTGTACACCGACTACAGGCATCAACACTTTCGAACTTGCTGCTGCCTTGCGTACCGCCAACAGTGAAGACAACTTGTCGCTACAATGCCACAAGACCGAAAAGAGGAAGATCTCAACCCCGTGAAGTAAAGCCCACACTGAACACCCCTCGGAGTAACGACACGGGCAGTGTTAAAGCTTGCTCGCGACGACTCTCCACCTCCGTCCATACGGTAAATGTGACTCTCAACAACGGACTGCCCTAAACAACAGGTTCCTTCCTTGTCCTATCACTGGGCGAATGCCTGCCTCCTACATGCAGAAGCCCCAGCTGCTGCGCCACGCAAGCCAGGCGGCTATGGCCAGCCCTGTCCGGTCAGAGAGCTATGATTATAAAGTTCTTGTACCTCCTATGGCACACCGTCCAACTCCACGAGGCTCTGACCCCAAACTTGGTTGCCTGGCCTCGGAAATTCCGCACCGCCTGAACGAAGGAGGCGAGGAGCCAGCAAATCGCTCGACCTCGAATGGTTCGTCCCGCCTCCGAGTGACACGGTGACAACACCCAGCAGCAACGTTCACCTTCCATTCACAACAGCCTGCTCAGGCTGTTGGCGAACTTCTTCAGGAATGTGCCTCGGCTCAAGCGCGTGTGACGGTTCCATCATGGAAAACGCTCAGAACATGCACTACTGCCGAGCGTGTTGTTCTGCAAGACTTCATTTCTTCGAGCAGCTCGGAACTGAGATGCAGGAGCAATCTGTCCGTGAAGTGATTGCAGTTGTTCTTCCTCAGGGACTCCGGGGGTCAGGACTGAGGAAACTCAATCATGTTCAAGTCGTGCGAGGCTCTGGCAGGAGGTCATAGTAGTCAAGGTCTTCTATGATCAGCCTCCCAAGGGCGCAACATAGTAACGGGTGCGGCGTCTTCACAGACAAATCACAGAGTACCTCAAGAGAAATTTGTAGATGTCCAGACGTGTCTTGGAAGTATAGCCCAGCAACCTGGCAAGGATCGGCCGAGCATCGACTTGCTGAAACTTCTCAATCATTATTATTACTACTAGTACTACTATTATTACTTTTCCTTTTATCACTGGGATTATCTAGCATCTGCTTGTAAAGCTTGGCTGTCTCTTTCGCTCTTCACGAAGTTATCATACATGACATACATAACTGAGAGCTATCAAAGAGGTGTGTCAAGATTTTGATCTCGCAGGCAACTGTCCATAATTAACTGGTTTCACAGGCAGTTTGGGAGAGGAACTATCAAGCAGGACAAGATTTGGCTCGGCAGGACTTAGGGTGCCGGGAATGGGTTCTGTTCAGGTATATAAGGGGCAATGGGTTATGTTACCAGAAGCACACCGTAGATCCAGAAGCACACCGCAGATATAATCTAGTATTATATTACAATATACCTAGAAAAACTCAATATAATATATGTATATATTATATTATATAATATATACATACACTATATTATATATATCACACACTCATAGCTCTTTCGCTCTTTGACAAGCGGAAGTTAGCCATTACGACATTTTGCTACAAGGTCCCAGGTGGCCTCTTCTCCGTAGGCTGCCCGTACGGCGTCTTCCTCACAGCAAGCTGTCACTGCCTCGTGCCTGCTCTGGTCCAGGTCCGCCGCTTCTACTTGTAGGCGAGAGCGGCATCTGAAAGAACTCCGTCTTGGAATCAGTAAGTACCGTTTTCCGAGAAATGCATGTTCCTTTCTTGTGCTTTTTGTTGAAATGTCTGAAGACTGGGTGGGTCAAGAAGGCCTAGCCGATTCAGTACTTCCAGAGCTGCCTTCAACCACAGCTGTGCTTGAGGGTTGCATGTTCCCAGACCAGCCTTGCTTCTAGAGACGGGGGGGGGGGGGGTCAAGTCGTGCCGAAAGGGCTCAAACTTCGGAGAGCTTTCCGCTCGCAGCGCTGCAGGCCCAGAATCGCAAAAAAGGCTTGCTGGGTTCATTTTGCTCCGTATCATCCTCGATGCGACTGGTTTAATTTTCCTGCGAATTTGTACATGCCGATTGAAGCAGGACTAGGATGCTGCACACTCTCTGCCACACTAAGCCTCCTGCCCTGGCTGGGACTCTCGGAAATGCTGCCCAAACCAAAACTCACCTGACAGGCACTATGCTTAAAGGTCCACACTCATGATGGTCGAGGGTTCGCCGGGTATAAGGCCCCATGCAAGAGATCAGGCAATTAGGCCGAGAGATCTAGCTGCGTGTCCTGTCGCATTTGTCGGCTGAGGTTCTGACATGCTCGGTCTGGCCACACAACCTCAAGTCCTGTGTGCCATATCGCCTCAGAAATCGGTCGGAACTTCCGGCTTTGCCTTGGAACTTGCATCCGGCCTTGAGCTCCGTTCCCAATATGATCTTTGACCAGCGGGCTGCAGAGCCATGGGAAATATCATACATGCAAAGGTAGATGGGATACTTCTCAGCCACTGCTGGTACCTGAGCGGACGTGGCAAGACTTGGGTCTTCCCCACTTTTCACATGCATGTGCCATGGTTTATAACCTCGACAACTCAAAAATCAAGGCACTGACTAGACTTATGCCAACTGGAACCATGACCCATAACCCTTGCGCATCAACTGCTGCTCATGGCCTGCTGCGTGCTTGGGACAGGCGCTGCTTCGGCAGACACTGCCGCCTGACACAGCCCCCGGGACAGCGACATCTAATAGTGTTTCTGTCAGCCCTTCACACCCCCAATGAACAACCCTGGGAATGGCCGCTTGGATACACATGGATCTACTGTCTTGGGTTATTGCGCATGGGTCTCGAATTTAACAAAGAACAAAAGGATCGAAGGTGCAAAGAATGACGCCCCAGCCTAGCAGGAACCGTTGAAGTTCACATGATAGGATGCATCACTTTCACGCAGCGGGCACATACACCAAGGTTCGTTGATCAAGAAGTAGAATGCGAGATCCCGAAAGGCTCCTTTATAGAAATAAACAAGCAGGAAGACGACATGCAAAGCCATGCCAACATCAAACACAAAGGGCATGCTCGCATGGCACTGTCTCAAGTTTCCTGGCCTGTCCTCCGAAGATGAAGTCCTCTGGTGAAGGCACCTTTCGTGTGTGCACGTGCATGACAGATATAACTATAAACTATATACTTAAGTCTTGACAGCCAAGAAAACTGGTTCAACAGGGTGTCTTGCAACACCGCCTCTGTTGCGGACAAGAATTCGTCGACTGACAAGACCTGACACAAAATGAGCAGCTAAGAAACATACAGCATGCAATCAGGCCAACTGTCTCTCAACGCTCAGCTCTATGGAGATGGCATCGTGATGTGTTGTTTTGCGTGCGCGGGTCGAAACTGCTTCGCCTTCTCCTCAGACAAGAAATCCTCCACCGAAGGTACCTTGCGAGTGTAAATATGTGTGCAACCGCAACGCAACACAACGAGTCATGCTGCCAATTCCTCCTGCCTTCTGTTCCGAAACTGTCTCGTTCAGGGGCGGTACCTGCGCGATGCTCTTGCAGGTGCGAGCCCTTCAACTCAAGGGATGCAAAGCCTCTTGTTGCTGGGGCTCCTGCACTCACGACAGCTTCCAGGAAAGCAATCAGTGAGTCAGGCACAGGAGCCATGTCTGCTTCCAACAAGTCGGGGCTCTATCACGCTCAGCCTGCTCTGAAAAGCATAACGTGGCCAAGGGCATGATCTTGAAACCTTGTCGGGCTATCTATTCATCTTGATTAGATGCACGGCAGTGTTTCAGTGCTTCCACATGAGCTCAAGCAAGCAAGCGACAGCGGCATGCATCCCTGTGTGGCCTCATGAAGGGGTTCTTATTCTTATGATTAATGTTACTATTGTTATTGATATTCGTAGTATACTTATTAACATCATAATGATTATTGTTGTTATTGTTATTATTGTTATCGTGTTCTTATTCACTTCCAACAGGAAAACTCACGCACAACCAGTGGTTGGCTCAGAAAGTTGCAGTGCGTAGACGCTCCCTCGGACACCGTTCTTTTCTATGCGCACATGGGGAAAGTCACGGTAGTCTACAAGCGACGCATGAGAGACACTATCCTGCAAGTTAGGATCCGGCATGTGACCAACAGCCCTGCGCTGCACAGAGGCTTCAAAACGTACCAGGAAAGAGGGGGCCCTTTTCCATCAGATTCCACAGCAGCACCGGTCCTGGCACATGTTTCGAGCTGTGCGTCTCTTACACCGGCAGCTTCTTCGTGACTGCTTTCCATGGGCATCTGCCTGGTTTTCGATCCGCCAAGAAATGATTCCGGCCTTGCAAGCCCCACGACAAAGTCAAATTTGGCTGCCATGTGCAACTTGCCTCATGATCCAGCATGCCACTGATGATACCTATTCAGGCCTTGAGCGTTATAACATACAGATACCATGCAGGGCTTGGCATTTAGTCATGATATTCGCAGCGGCTGCGCGGATCGACCCGAGTTCTCGCGAACATATGCCTGCGTACCAGACCTTGAGCCGATCAAACTCCTCCCGTTTTCAATGCTCATGCTGCCCGAAGGGTAGGAATTCTGTTCTTGCCTTGAGCTTGCGTGGGGGGGCATTGCTCATGCCTTGCGTTTAGCTTTCAACAATCTTGCTGTGCGAATTGTGTCAGATCATGGCGGATGAAATAGCAGCGCACGTGCAACTCCTAGATGTAGAGACATGTGTAGACATGCTGTGCCAACTTTCTATGTTTTACTTTCCACTGGTAACACATGGTCGTGTACTTACTTCAGCATGGCCTCCGTGCTGCCATGATTCGGTAGAAAGAAGGAAAGCAAGTGGCAACAGGGAGTCCTTAAAGCGGAACCTTGAGCGGAGTCCGCGCATGCATTGTGGAACTAGTTCATTACACGACCTTACGAATCGCTAGTGAAAAAGCTTGCACAGGACACCTTATTGGACAACAAGGCAAGGTTGTGGCATTCGCGCATGTCATGGCTCGTATCAACAGCAATCGTCGCTCTGTATGCATGCGCCCATCTCTCCCTCGTGTGCTTCTCTCAGCCTGTCACTATGGATGTGGGCCTTGACTTTCTGCCACGTTGTGGCTCGCAATGGCGTGCTGTAACACTCCTGGCATGTGTGCGTGTGAGCCACAAGCTCCAACAGACTCGCACAGTCAAGTTGCAACATAGTCAAGAGCACTAGGTTGAAAGCTTCTGAGACATCATTCAGCGCGCCATGCGCGCCGCTGCCAGTGCGAGGCACCTGAATTTCACTTTAGCAGCGATGGATACATGAATGTACGTTCAAACAGACATGCCCTCGTCAAATTGAGAGCTGGGCGGCAGTGCCATGGTCTGTCCAGGGTTCCAGCTGGCGTGGCACCTGGTCACCGCCGCGGGGCGTTAGCCCTTCGGCCTTCGGTCATCTTAGGTTTGGGTCAGCAAGTTGCAGCTGCTCCTTTGCCATGCAAATCCAAAACTCTGCGTTGCAGCACTGGCACAACTTCATTGCAAGATCTTCGAATTTTCTCCTACCGCCAGGGTGAGAATCAGTCTGCGCACATGGCATGTCAAGACGAATAGGGGCGGGCCTTCGGGCTGCAGCTTCCTCTCTCGGATGCTCTGATACTGGGATGCTTGGCAGACGTCACAGGAGGTGGACTTCTTGTGTCCAAATCCTGGCCGTGTTCGCTGCGGGCATTGCGCGTATCACGTCACTTCGAGTCAGCAGAGTTCTAGGGCCAGGGCACGCCCCGAGCCAGCTTCGCCGGTCTACGACGTCAGCTCTTGCTCTAGCTTCGTCTTTGACGCTGGAAAGACTTGGGCCGTACCTCCAAAAACTCGTCGACCGTGGGTATCCAGAATGCCTGGCCAGCAGAAACACGCCAATGTTGCAGCACCCAGCTGAACTGGGCCAGCCTGCGCACCAGGAAATTCACAAGACCTTGCACAGACACTGACGGACGCCGCAACAACAGTGGGGGGCCAACCTCAATGCCAGCACCAGGCAACAACACCAGCACGTCTCACCCGGCCTTGACCGAACAAAAGTGGCGAAGCTCCTTGAAACAGATGCAAGCACATGGCGCAGAGCACACCAGTGGACATACTCAAGGGCAGACTTCAACCGACATGTGTAGGAGCCACACTATCACGCCACAGCCAGTGAAGCCCAGGTTCCTTCCACAGTGGACAAAGCGCAGCACACTGTTTTTTCAAAACAAGCTTCACTATTCACAATCATTCAACATTGAATTCCATTAATAGACTCTTATTCTTGGTTTACTTCACAACCTAGAGCTACTGGATCGGCCGAGATGGAACGGTATCTTATCCACCAGCACCCCGTGCTGCTCAGATCGAATGCATATTCTTGTAAGTAGAACGTGAAGAAAACGTCGATGTCGTCCTTGCTCGTTCGACGACCTCTCGCGGTGGTTTTGACATGTCACGCGATGCACCGGACCTGCGCAAGCAAGAGAGCCAGCTTTGCAGGATTCACTTGGAGGCTCAGCGTCGGGGTTTGAGCGAGCGAGTGAGGGAGCGCGAGAGAGAGAGAGAGAGAGAGAGAGAGAGAGAGAGAGAGCGAGAGCGAGAGCGAGAGCGAGAGCGAGAGCGAGAGCGAGAGCGAGAGCGAGAGCGAGAGAGAGAGAGAGAGAGAGGGAGGAGAGGGAGAGAGGAAAAAAGCAAGAACAATAAGAACGAGCATGGGAGCTGCAGGACAATGTTTCAGCGAGGCGAGGCTTGAAATGAGCCAGTTGCCCGGGCATGGACGACTGCAGACTGTTTGTGTAAGACGGTACGCATTGCTAACAATGCAAACTGCATGACCACCAGGCCCGGCCTTCCAGACCAGCGCTCTAGAATCCACAAACGCAGACAAATGCTTTGCAGAGGGCTGCAGAGCCGAAACGAACGTGCAAGCGGCATGTGGGGAAAGGCCTCCAGATCGCCAAAACCAATGTCGATGCTAAGCCCCCCCCAAAGCCCGCTCTTAAGCCCTGGGATACGGGATCAGTCCCCATGATGACTGCACTTCTCCTTTCGGAATAATGACAAAGGACGCAGCAGAATGCAAAGAAGGTGCTTTTTCGGTCTGATGCTCAATCAAGCACATGCGAGACTGCGAGTGCCGCAGAAGAGTTTTCGAGAGCCCGCCTGGAGATATGGCGACAGCTCCCTTTTTCAGCCTTGTCCAGGTCTTTGCCTTTGCCACTAGGATGCCCTCGCCATTCGGTTATTACTAAACGTGGCGGCTTTGCATATCCATGGATTTTATGGAAGCCCCAGCCAGCTCCAGCCCCTCGTCCCTGCGAGCCTCGACTCTTTGCACAGGAAGCTTTGCCAAGTTCCAACTTGTCTACTTCCCCAACCGCCCAGAAACCTTCAGCGCCCTGCTCTAGGCTTCAGCCCCAGCCGCACATCCGGTAACCCGGTAGTCACCCCAAAACCGACACAACAAGCCTGTAACAGTCGTTGCTGTGCCGTGGACCGGGGAGACAACTGGGGCCTGGGGCCTCCGGCATGTGACGCCGCTATGCTTTGCGGCTGCACATCTACCGCGACTATACTATACGCTATACGCCCTCACATGAAAGATAAAGGGTGACTTATAGCATGTTGATCCCCAGGCAAGTGATTCAATCTAAGCCTCTGCTCTCTGCACTTTTTTTGGAAATCCATTTCAAGCACTTCGCACGAATCCGCTTGACCGTGGTGGTGTGTTGTCTGTGAGACGGACGCGGTCGATAGATTAGAAACGAGATCCTCTTGCCGACTCATCGACTGGACCTATGCAGCGAGATCACCTTAAGCATCGAATGCGTTTCCGAAGAAAAGACTTGGAACAGGTATCTTTCAGTGAGCTGCCATGTCGCACCAATCCTTCTTCGGGGTCGAAAACAGCTTCTCAACGCAGCACGCCATGTTCCTGCCTGGGGCATCCCAAAAGTAAGCTCGTAGTAGGATGTAGTAGGAATGACCGGCGAGGCTTCCGTGAAACAGCCTTCACCAAAATGGAGCTCTCACAAACGGCCATGCCATCATTTCAGGCTGTGACGTGAAGAAGCTCAGAACAGACAAGACTCGCTTGGGTTGACTGGATGAATCACAACATCATAAACGCCGAGGTCCAGGCACTAGAATCTAAGCCGCAGCTTCCTGGCATCCGGCTCGGAAAGGCCATACACAACATTATAGGGCTGTCTGCAGAGCGCACCACGGGGCGCCCAGCTGGCAGAGTGGCTTCTTCACTGTTGCAACCTCCAAACTGTGGAGCCAGCCCCAATGTGGCAGCTGAAGCACTGAGCCGCGGGCCCATGCTCCGTTCTGCATGCGGGTGGAAGTCACCTGCGTGTTTGTAGCGTCTGCATTGAAGGGCTCCCGTCAAATGTCTCCGCCTGGAAGGTTTCCTTTCCCATGTCTGCACTCACCGGGCTGGATGAGAGCCTATTCAGAAGATTGATTGAGGCCCAGGTATTCGTGCTACAGCATCAAGGCCCAAACCCAACGAAGACCAACCGCTCCACCGCTGTGCTCTGTTTGAAGCTGCCTCGCACACCCGAGATTCTTGGCCGGTGGCGGTTTCCGAGGCCCGCCGCGCCTGCTGCGCCTTTGGCTGCACCCGCCACATGCAGTGTCTGGGCCGGCCTGTAAAGCTGCTGCCAGGAGCCAGGCATGCCAGGCCATTCAGCCGCTTCATGGCCACTTCCGTCGCAATGTTTCTGTCAGCTGAGCCAAGAGCTCTGAGACCAGCTCTTGACCGTCGAAGCGGAGCTTATCATAAACGAAGTGGCCCCGCCTGTCGATACAACACGGAGAACACTGCTGCCTGCTGCAGTACCTTGCGCTGTACTGAGTTTTCGGACATGAAGTCGTGGCTTTGGCCATCATCCATGTACACATGGCCTGTTCACACAATCCGCACGAGGCCTACCGGTTGCAAAGTCTGCAAGTCGTTCACTCCTGCCTCCTGCCTTTTCTCCATACACCACAATTGTGTACCTGCTGAAAAATCAATATGGGAGGAGTCTGGCAGCAAGCTGGAACATCTTGCAACAACTAGGTTGCGGGTCAGAAGCCATCGCCAGGGAACTGCGACGGCGCCTCACGACAAGAACCGGAAACAAGACTCGCTCACCCGGTAAAAAACCACGTCAAAGCTGCCGCCTCATCTTCTTTGGTAGAATCGCACCAGCCCTGATGTATACAGGCACCTTGACTGGAGCAATTAAAGCCCTCATGGGCCCATGGGCTACGTGCCTCAGAAGGCTGCACACAAAGCTCTGCAGAGATCCCGTCACATGCAGCTGTTTCAGTCTCCCACGTGCGAAGGGTCAGCCTGCGGGGAGCCATCAGAACCGAGCAGTGTCAGACCTCTCTGAAACCATATCCTGCGTCAAAAATCGGCCCCAAAAGGGATAGGATTTTCACGGTGCCTTGACCGAGTGCGACTTGCCTCCCACAAGGGGACCAGCCTGCAGTCTTCTCAGCCACAGCTGTCACTGCCAAATCTTGCCGCATAAATACGACTATGAATACAACTAATTACAGTTGAACTACAAAAAACTAAGCAACTACAAATCACGCTCGCACTACGGTAGCTCTTGGTGCATTATTTGGTACATGCAGTATATCAAGACACACCCGGCCCCACCTCCATGCTCCAGAAATCAAACCAGCTTCCTGACGGCCTTGAGGTGTCCAACACATTCCAACACTGAGACAAGGTCCGCGAGCCAGTCGCAAAATCATCTCTGGGCCGTGGCAGGTAGACGTTGAGAACGTCTTCACCCCGCTTGGTAATTGCCCGCACGAGCACATCGCTCCCCAGCCTGTGGACAGCCCCAGCTGGGCAGCAAGGCGACGGCTCTCGCTCAAACACAGCACGAGAGCCCAGCAGGAAGTGTGTGTTCTGGTGGCGGAAAGCCTCGATATGCGATGCTCTCAAGGCTGCACTGCGATTGGCATCCAGACTGGTGACTGGGCCTCCGAATCTGCAGCATCCTCGAGAAACGTTCCAGGTGCTGGAATCTGGAAGGAGGCTCCAAACAAAGGCCTGAAACCAAAGCGGCCGAAGGATTGGCTGCCCCGCCAAGGCCCATTGAGCGAAGAGAGTGTACCTCAAAGATCGAGTAACTTCCGCGCTCTCGCTTCATATATCGACCAGGCTCACCATGTCGGCAGCATCTGATATCGCACAGTGACCTTTGCACAGAGCATGACACGGCAATCTCAGCAGGCGCGAAACTGTCAGGCGGGCCTGCTCGCGCACGTTTTCTGTGATCTCTTTGCCGAGCATCCACGGCTCGCGGCGCTTGGTCCTTGCTCTCACTTTCTTGGGGAGGGTTCGGTTGCTTCCAAGTTGCAACTCAGCGGCTCGAGGTGGGCATGCCCTCGATAGAAGGGATACCAGATCCCCAGCTGGTGCCACCTGCAGCACCGAACCGTCGAACCATCGAACCGTCGGCCGGTCGGTCCATGGTGCTCTCGTTCCGGGTTTGGTGGCCTCCGGAAGAGCTCGGGCTCGGGATCCTCGGAAAGCACGGAGGGACAGGCTCTCAGCTTGGCTTCTTTGCTTGGTATCCCGACGAAGAAGAAGCCGGGGACATCAGCTCCCACGAAAGAGGCCCCACAAAGGCAAAGAGACCTGTGGAATGCATTGGGTCTGCGACATGCGAAAAGCGGACAGCGGACACCAACTTTTTGGCATCTCACACGAGCATCGGAACAGAGATAGCCAAGTGCTCCCACCTTGGCTGGCAACGAACCGCCACGACCGCACCGTGGTGTGCCTCTTACGGCTGCTGATAGTGTACGCTGAGACCGTCGCTTGGCCATGTTGTCGCCGGTCCATATGGCCCCGTGCTTGTGGGACCCCGCGAAAAACGAGCGTGTCAGAACAAACGGCCGCACCTCGGTCGGGTCAAAACATCCTGGCCACCCGTCTACCGTGATGCAGGGAGACAAGACTCTGTGAGTGGTGTGGGTCTACCCGAGGTCCTCGCGTTTGGTGCACGCACCAGCTGTCCCTCGACTGTTGCCTGCTCCCAAAAGGTGGTAGCACGGCGAGTGCATCCAAGTTCCTTGAAAGCCACGGGCCATGTGATGATAGAAACCATACACCTGGGCTGCAGGACCGCGGTGGCTGCACTGCTGCTGGCGCCATGGTATGGATGTCTTGGCCTCATGATTTCTCAGGTGCGCACATTGTGAACATCGCGGTGTTCCACCTTCACTGCCGGAGTGGCATGCTTATTGGATTCAGCCTCGAACCGCGTGGCAGTTCATCGGAATCAAGGCCTCGTAATCCTTCTCGCTGCACTTGTGCAAGTTGTCGCGTGGCCTGAGGTCAATCTACGTTGAGTTTACAGTGCTGCAGACACAGTTCCCAGTCCGTGGCATTGTAACCTCTGGGCCATTAAAGACGCTCGGCCTTGGCAGAACCAACTGCGGCTTTCCATGGCCTCTCGCCCAAGCACGGCATCACGAGCCGTGGACTCGTTCATATCGTTCCAGGTGTACAGGTCAGGCCTTTAGCTCACGACGCCTGGGATAACTTTGGTGCAAGCTCGAACGGCGCCTGTTGTGCGGGTAGTAGTCCATCTTGAAGAACGTCGTCCAGAGCCGACGCGCCTAAGGCAGAAGACAGCGGGGCTGTGAAGTTGCGCAGACGAGCATCTCGCTTTGCAGCCTCCGGATTGCAGAAGTCCGGATAGGAAGAAGTTCCTGGCCAACACCAACCTGCGGCCCGCCGCCGACATCATAAAAGCATGTCGCCCGGCATGCACAGCAAGCATCCGCACCGTCGTAAAGCTGTTTGTCTTTCGTCTTGGTGAAGAAATCGTGGTTCTTGCAACCAGGGGGTGAACTCGACTGCAGCGCACACATCTATGCCTTTCGTCCAACACGGGGGGAGTCCTTCATCTTGTTGTAGACGTCGTACCTTTGAACGAAGATCGTCTGAAGCTTGCGAAAACTGTGCAGGAAGCCTAACGGCCTGAGTCTACAGGAGCGGGTGCCTTCGGCCTAAACAAGCCACAGCAAAACCTGAGCGATTCGCCCGCTGTCTTTTTTGATGTGTGGGTCGATGATGGTGACCAGCTTCCTCTTGGATGCCTGCTCACCACATACAGTGATGCATTTCTAGCACGCGCTAACCGTATTCGCCCGATGGCTGCGAGACCTCAAGGGCTGCCAAGAGCTTGTCCGGTTGTGCAAAGTGCGAAGGATGCCAGGTGAAGTACTTCTTGCCTTTGTGTTTCTGACTGCGCCAAAGAATCACATGCTCCGTGAACAGTCGCCAGCAGCCCAGGTGCTGTCTGTATGCTCGATGTCCAACCAGAGAACATCGTAGGGGATGTCGTGCTGGTCGAATTTCCTACATTCTGCGGCCAAATCCCGAACGCAACCACTCCACGACGGCTGGCAACCAACCCAAGCCCACCAACTTGTTGCACCCCAGTCCGGCCCTGCAAAGCTCGCTTTATGCCAGGACGCCTATAAGTACTAGCTGATCTAGCTGTTTTGCCAGCCTGTTTTGCGATCCACGAAGTTAGATTGCCCTCTCTGAAATCTACATTAAGCCAGAAATCATGGAATCGGAAAACACGGTGGAGCAAACCTACCTTAGCCCTCCATGCATCTCAATGTCATACACTTTGGTCGCTCCCTCTCCTGTTCACTCCAATGGAGTCTTCCACATCCACATAATTCCAGCGAGACCTCCAACAAAAAGATGGCAATTTCAAGCCGTACCACCAATAAAAGAACACAAAAGTGACGAAGCATTTAATTTGATGAGCAGAGGCCGCCACTGGTGCTTTCCGAGGGTGGAGATTGGAGGCATTCGGGGAAACCTTGGAAACGCACTCTTTGCAATTTTCCTTATGGCACTGGGTCTCATACCAAGATTGAGGTTGCAGCCCTGTCACGGTGTGGTACCTCCAAATGCCAACCGGGACTCAATGCGCATACACACACACACACACACACACCCGCACACACAAACACACACACACACACACACATGCGCATGCAGTCCCCAAGGCCTTTGCAGCACCTCCTGGGGCCCGGGACCGGCAAAGAAGAACCTCAGTGACCCCCCCTTGCGCTGCCTCCAACCTGCGGGCTTGGATGCTCTACATGGCCGATCCGGGCAATGCGCATGTCCATCACGCCAGACTCGAACAGCCACCAGGTCTCTGTTTGGGAAGATCCTTCGATGAAACATGGAAAGGAGTGTGCCAACATACAATGCATGCAGTACATCGTTGTGCGGCTCTTCTATGGGAAACCGCTCCTTTCGATGCATCCACATGCACGAAGCCTTCCGACCTGAAAGTTTGGCAATTCGCACTGCCATCTCAAATCCAGAGCTCGGACATCTTCGTCACATTTCTCCATCCGCTGAGCTGATCAGGTCGCACTGCGGGAAACAAGTCCGAGGGTCCTGGACAGCGTGCACTGTAAAACTGAGCTGCGCGCGGATTGGGGAAAAAGAAGCCGGATGCAACGGTTTCACCCGACCTCACTACAAGCTTGGATTCACTGCAAAAGATTGCGAGGTGGCGCGAGCAAAAGACCGCATGCGCAAGACCTCCGACACTCCTGTGCCTGAAATCTTCACAACCCCACTTGGTATGTCTTCGATGGCAACAAACCAGAGGCCCGTGCTTCTCGCGATGAATTGCCGTCACCAGGGGAATCTAGGCGGCAAAAGAGCGGGCAAACAGGAGCTGCAGTTGCTGCTGTCAGATGCAAGCAGAACTGTAACAAGGACTCGGGGTAGACGGACACCGAACACCGGCGACATGCCAACGAGAACAGGGCAACAGGGCTTTGTGCCAGAACAGCTGAGTGATTAGTTACCTTCGACGCCTGCCGCGGCTCTCCGGAGAAGTCCCAAGCACGTTACACAATTCTGCCTCTGCGACTTTCGCACATGAGTTTCCCCAAACTTCACAGGCGGTTTCGCAGGATTCCTATGAAGCTGGCTTGGCTGAATGTAGCCGTCTGAGTCTATTTGCCTCCTGCCGGGCTAGGACGAACGTACGATGCAGGGTCTGACACTGGGATGAAAGCAAAGAGACTGTTAGCTTTCTGAATCAAAAGAGAAGGGTCTGAAGACTGCATCTTTGACCTCCCTTCTCGGGTCGCCACGGCGCCATACAGGGCCATGGGCACGTCCAGCGCCTTTGCCAGACTACACATGTCAGCGCTTCATAGCAGCCCTCCTTGGCTAACTCAGCATCAGGCGTACTCGAAGACATCCAGGTTGAAGAACCGGTACGGCCTGAGCTAAGCCGTTCAAGTCTGACCCCACTCAGCTGCCGTGGGTTTTTGGGAGCGAGGCTCTAGTAAGCGGTTCTCACCCAGGCCCAGGCCTGTCGCAGCGCGGTGAAAACACAAAGGAATGCTGTGCAGTTGCCGGGGCGTGCCAACTGCGTGTTCCGCAAGCCCGAAGATGTCGACGGCGTCCTGAGATCGAGGACAAGGAAAGCGCTTGCATGTGTCGTGGCGGTGTGTCTTTGGCTGCAGGAACTCTATATAACTATATACTATACTCTGTATTATACTATATTAGACTCTATATATGCACGGCCTCGCCTCGAAGGCCACATCCACACCCACTGCGGCTGGTCCCCGGGGTTTGCTGTCTGTGTGGCCGCCAAAGCTTTCCTGGAAGCTCAGGCGCGCTACAGCGCTAGGGAAGAAAGCAGAAGTACAGTAGCTGCCTCGAACAAGTTGTTCGGATCAAGGTCCGTCGCATCCACGAGTCCGGCATGCGCCTGCCTTGCAGTTTAGGTCAGAAAGAAGAAGGTCCATGAATGGACAGTGAAGGAATGCATGCCAGCAGTACGCTCCCTTGGCTCTGTATCTTTCGAAGTTTAAGAACCGCCGGGAATTGAGCTTCTGGAGCACCTCAGTGGGGAAGAGAGACCGAATCGTTGTGTTCGAGACACTGCATCCGAGGGCAGCGCCCGACCATGTGCGACAAACTCAAGCTGAAACGGAGAGTGCTGCAATTTCACCTGCAAAGCAAAAGAAAGCATCACGAAGCCGAGCGTCTCCCTGCAACTGCCGTGCTGCCATCGTCGAGGCCTTGCACGCACCACTGGTGCTAGCAATCTCCGTGAACCCGGCACCTTCGGTCACAGTGACCTGGCCGCTCAGAAAAAAACTTCAATGCGCACCGGCCTGTTGGAAGCCGCCTTATCGGGCTGCAGTTCCTCGTCTTTTCGAACCACGTCCTGAGTGACTCGCGTTCTCATCGAAGGGTGGCGCCCACGTTCTGGAGGGTATGAGGCGAGCAGCCCCGGGCGTGAGCCGAAAGCGCGGGTGGAGAGGATCCTGTCGTCGCAGCGCACGCACTTCCCTAGCCCTGGGATCTTCAGTCCTTCATTGATTCTCCGTGCCTTCTCCGTGACGAAAGTTCGGACGATTCCGCAGCTGCCGTCCACGTCATTCAGGAAGAAGCTCAGCTCCAAGAGAAGGGGCTTCACCTCCCAGAGAGTCTCAGAGCCGCGAGCAAGAGCCGAGGCTCAATAGCCCAACGTCTGAGAATCCTGCACTGGCGTCGTTGGCGAACAGTAGGCTGGCCTATGGTGTGCTGTTCTTGCGAAGCTATGTCGTGAAGCCAGTAGCAGTTCGGTACCGTCGGTTCGCAATTCCACAAAACAGGCATTAACCATCAGGTGAGCACAAAGGAACCTGAACTCTGTTGCCGCTCGACTTGATGGAAGACGGGTCCAGCTTGTGAACCACAAGACCTGGCTTTGTGCGCTCTGCAACTCCCTGACTCTCATACTGCCGACCCAAAGCCTGCGTCGCCCTCCACCTGCAGTGGGGTGTGGAGAGATCTCGAGTGCCACAGAGATCTGATGAGATGCACCATGTGCCAGGCCTTGCTGATGTACTTTCGGTAGCGCCGTCCGAAGGATCCTTGCCTGGGTGACGCTGCCGAGCAATCAAAGCGGTCAAGCAGTGAAAAACCAAAGGGGGTCCAAGCTCGAAGGTCCGGAACTTGGACTTGTCAACGCAATCCACAGAGCCTGGTCGCAAGCTGGAGACCAACTGCAGATACATAGAGAACCAAGCCCTGCTAGGCCTAAGCTGATGTAGATGGCTACAAGGGCCCGCCACACGCACGCCATCAGAGCACAGCATCAATAGAGAGTATGCCCTTCTGATCCCGATCCCTTCTGGATTTTGGAAGGTTCCCACCAGAGATTCAAAGCTGCTGTGCTTGAGATGGCGAACTCCGCCATACAGACCATCACTCCCATCACTCATGTCCCTGTCTGACAGACTACTTCCTTCATCATTAGTCAGCATAGCAGCATGAGCATGTCATAGAAACGGACATGCTGATATGACGTATCAATACGTATCAGCTGTTACGTGTCAGCTGCTCGATCCAGAAGCTGGCGGCTACAGAAGTGGCTTGTGAGGCGCCTTCCTGGTCGCAGCTACGGTGGAAGGCACATCGCTGTGGTGACGGCCCTGATGCCACTTGGTGCTCCTGTTTCCGTCTCGCTACTTTGCTGCTTTTGAAGCAGATCTGCAAGGTCGCAGGCTTCGCAAACCAAAGCCACGACCTGTGGGTTTAAAGAGTTCCCTAACAGTCCCCAAAGTTCACGGGGCTTTGCGAGGGGAAGCTGGTAAAGCGAGCACCGGCATGCCCTGACATCTTCACTGCACGGGTGCGATAGGCATTGCGGCAAACAGCGTGGTCTGCATGACGCACCACCAGCTTCAAGCTTGAAGCCCAACAGTCGCGCGACTTCTGCTGGCGCAAAATAGCGCAACAGGCCGTAGAACTGCTGCATGGTGTAGGAGCCAGGCTCCGCCTGGGATTCTGCCAGTCTGGTGGCAGCAGACAACACACTCCCTGTGCCGTCCACATATCTTCCATAGGCTTTCGTAAAGCACAACGAATGACGACAGCCAGGGTGGACCACATCAAAGCAGCGGGCAGACTCCTTCCGCATAGTTCCCTCTGGCACTAACCATGTGGTATCGTCTGCATCCAGGAAAGCAGACACCGGCTGCAATTCATAGCAGCACTGGGCAGTTGGCACAGCAGGTGCAGGCTGCCCGCAAGCAGAGCAAGTGTTTCGAAGGGTGTCCGATGGTACAAGGCCCTCGTGACCGGAGCCCAGGGTTTCCGCGGCTCCACTGCATGGTAGGTGCCTCCACGGCCTCGGAGCTGCCCCCATGTCTGTGGCACTTGTCAGAAACTTCACTCCTGGGTCCTGGACTCTTCGTGTGCTGTGGATCCCTCGCCCGAGTCTGGAACGCAAACTGCGTGCGATTTGGAGAGCATTCACTCAGCATATGCGAGTGCGCCATGTGCCTGACGCCGTCGCCATGTCTGGAACACGTCTGAAGAGAAGGGGCCTTACGCCAAGAAAACAGTAGAACAGGACGAAGAGATACGGAATGCTGCCTCTACTCCTCGCAAGCGATTCAACTTGACCCGCCTGCGTTTGGCAACCTCAGCTGGCCACTGTAATCGTGAGGGACCGGGTAATGCGAGCAACATGCAGAGAACTGCTTCGTGCAACTAAAGCTCAAGCCGGCTAGCTTCAATGCTATTCCCGGAAAATCCTGGCATCGCAACCTTTACAAACACACCTTTGTATACCGGATGCTTAGCTTTGCTGCGGTATGCTCGGAACGGCTGCCTAAGAAAGACTGTCACTGTGGACTGCCCGCTGGCTGTCCGCTGCGCAACAATCGCTCCTCGAGAAACGCTCATCGCAACAAACTGTGTCCCGGACCATGTAGAATCGTAGGCGTGCATTGGGAAACCCGAATTGTTGCGGACCTCAGAAAGACTTTAGTGCACAGAGGTCCCGCCTTTTTGCCTCGTGCATTGCTTGACTATGTTCGCCGGGCAGGGCCCGAAACTTGGCGATATAGTGAACCTTCCTTCAACCAAGGACTGCCACTGCCACGGGTCCAGAGCCGCCCAGTCATTCAGCAAAAAAACTCATCCCAACACGTGTTCAATGCATATGGGACTTTGCAGCTCTTACGTGCTTTGTCTATGTGCCCAGCTCAGCAAAAAGCTGCGCCACTCAAAGCCACGCGCCCGAAGAGCCTCCGGGCATGCCAAAGCAGTGGGGCTGAAGCAACTCCGACGCAGGAGTTCCGGGTCTCTGGGCACGTGACATCACAGAGCTGCAAGTAGGAGTCGGACTGCTCAAAGTTGCGCACATTCCTAGCTTGCATAGCTGCGCATAGCTGGCCCATCCTGTAAACTGCTATCTGTGCAGACGCGTGGCTCTAGAACAATGGCCTCGGGCGGAGTGGTCACCTGCACTGCGACCGGGCGGGGCGACCGCACCCCTTTCAGAAAGAGGGAGCACCTCCCGCAACACGGAAATGATGTGCAAGAGCGGTTTCGCTCGAGGGTCCTGGGACTCTTGTGCCATTCTTGCCGCAGCTTTTGGAAAGCACTCGTCACTGTCGAGTCCTCCGCATCTCGGATCTTGCCTTGCCTACCCAGAAAAACTGCACTCCAAGCTTTTGGGTGGCCTGTGCACAGGCTGGCCTGGTATAAGGCTGGCACGGCCTGAGAGAAAACTATACGAAGGCATTCCTGTGGAGATGGCACATGTCTGGCTCAGATCCGAGCGGAGACATTGTCCAAATCCGACACTGCTGTTGGTCAAACCTCTGAGTCTTCAGGAGCGTTTCGAAGGTGTCAACATACCAACGTCACCAACCTGCTTCAGCCGAGATGCCACCTTGATGTAAGACCTGAGTTCACTCGAGATCCTCTGCCTTCAATTCAAAACTTGAACCAGGCACTTGACTGCAAATATCACGATTGACGACGTGGTCTGGACCTGAACAGGCATGGCAGAAGCAAGAGCTGGGAAGAGACCGTTTGTTGAATCATGGCTGGGCACCGAAATTGAGCCCGTAGACCGCCAAGGCCTGAAGTTTGCATGTTCTTGCTGCTTGCTACTGTCAGCTGCATAAATTTCACGACGCATTGCGCGGTCTGCACGCCTGTTGGTTGACTTCGACGGCCACAGAGTCAATCACGAAGCCAGCGTACCTGGGTCCAGTTCTTGTCAGCTCGCCCAACCCCCCGGCCAGCAACCTGACACTCCGCGGATGTACTTTCTTGCGCGGTGGCAGTCCATGTCTCGTATAAAGGATGTCCCAGGCCAAATGCGCACACGAGTCCTCCAGAGAAGCTTCAAACCATCAGCGGTAAAGAAGGGCTGACCAAAGGCCCCACAATTGACCTTCATGGCCGAATGAACCCGGCAGTTGGTCTTCAACTGCCAGGCCAGTTCGGTGAAACAGACTCCACTTCTACGCATTCTACGCAGGTTCAGAAGGGAAAGGAGGCTGGCTCAGCTCTCGAGGACCCGGTCAGTCATCAGTCGATGGGCCTCAACTCGTCTGTTTAACTGTTTTCATTGCCCCGAGAAGGAAACTTTCAAGCCCGAGCTGCAGCTTTTTCGAAGCTGCCCACTTGCAGAACTCGTCGAAGAGCACCTTGCCGCCCCCGTTCTCGTCCTCAGACCAGGAACTCATGCCAGCAAATCCCTAGCACGCGCACACACACACAGACAGAGGCCAAACGAAGTGCTGCTGGGGCACCATGAAATTGAACCTTGCAGGACCGGCTGGTGTCGGAAGTTCGCTCAGACTTTCTCATGTTTAACTACCCAGTAGCATCCATAAGAACTCCCTCCAACCATGAATCCAAAACTGAGACTCCGTTCCCGGAGATTGAGATGACACTTGCATTCTTGGCACTGCTCGTACGTACTCCAAACTACTTACAAGTGCATTATAGCTTCGATTCGATCATCTCACCCTTGCCACCCAAAGAGCTCCCCTTTGGGCTGAGAGGCTCATCGAATGCTTCAGCAGGCGTCAGCTTCAGACCGAGGACTGAACACCCACCACGGAACTCGTTCAAGTCCTGCTGCAAGACGTTGACTGAAACTCGCAGGCACATGAGAAGACAGAATCCTACCGTTACCAGAGTTCACAGCGAGCGGCCATGCGTCGGTCATCATCGACGTCGACCACCCTCCCAGCGTCACAGCATGCATCGACATGGCCGGACCAAGTGAAGGGCTTGCGAGGTGAGGCTGGCTGAACTCCGAATCGCACAGACTCCTGGACTGGCTAAATGCATCCCAAGTATCTCGTATAAGGAATACAGCTTGTTGAAGTAGAACCTCAGTTCGCAGCTCAGGCAGCCTAAGTACACGCCAGCTAGCAAGAACTCCGCGTCGTGTTCTGAGGCATGCCACATGTTTCGTAGAAGGGCCCTGAACTCCGTCCTTGCAGGCACGGCGACATCATGTATACCAGCACCATTGGAAGACCGCTTGCCGCTTGCCAGTCCAAACAGAACTGTTCACGCGCCTCGCTTGTACGTGCTGACAAGGTGCTTGTGCACATAGCCATCCGGGTTACGCTCTGTCGCCTTGTACGCTCTCCTGATAATTGAAGTTTGGGCAGGCACGTGATGCTTGTGGCTTTGAAATTTCGCCCCTTTCTCGTCAGAATACAGTACGTGCCAAGCAACATCAAGGCTGGCTTGTTGTTCGCTTCCGGAAAGCAGTCCTCAGAGCGCGAGGCTCCACTTTTCCTGCGCCCTTCAGAAACTCACCCGCTTCCCTAAATGCACTGGAAAGGCAATGAGATGGGAAAACATCCCTGTACCAAGTGTTTGTGTCGCGGATCCGTGACGCAGCCATCCATTTCCGCAAGGCTGACAAGGCCATTTCCGTTGTAGTCCTTGGCCAAGCAGGGCGTTTTCAAGGTTGAAGGGTAGCGCACACGCAGACACACAGACACAAGCGCAGCAAGCGGGAAGACTTAAACTCGTCTGATGCCGTCTCTTAGTCTCTTATCTGCATGCCGGCGGCCATCTTGCGCCAAAGCTGATGGAGTTGCCGCTTGTCCTGCGGAGCTTGGAAGTGGTCGGCTGTCGCGAAGCGACTAGATACAAACTGCTGCTAAAAACTGCTAAAAATGGCCACGCAACTAGGAAGAAAGTGTGCCAAGACGCCTTCAACAGTCCGTGGAGCTTCTTCTCTGCCACTTCAAACTGATTCCTTTTTGAGCTTGCAGCTGGTTCTCGAGTCTAGAGCGAAGAACCAAGCACCGAACGCGACGAGCGACGGCAAAGCCCCCACACCGGCCCGGACAACTGCAGCGAAGCTTCACAATCTGCGTCTTGGCTGAGTGACTGTGGTGAACAGCGGCCTGACGACTCAATCCAACACATTCCAACATCGCGAAGGCTGTCGCTCCATTCGACGGCCTTCGAGTGATGCTTGGCGGATAGAGAGTGCAGAGATGGAGCTGGAGCCGAATAGACCGATGAGTCCACGGGGCACTGGACCTCAGATCGTTGGCAAAACAAACTCTCCCCGTCCTTGCCACACCATCCTGAAAGGTCATTCTGGTTGCTAGTTCCTCGATCGGGGCCCCGGCCGAAGCAACCCATCGGCAGAATTCGTCAAAGAGAATGAGGCCACAACGGTTCCTGACCGAAATGAGGCTGCAGCCATGGCCAACTGCTAGCTGATGCTGCAGAAGCTTTCTTGCGTCTCGCTTTGGGCTGAATGACAAGTGCGAGGCATTACAGCCCCACAGCATGTGCTCTCGCTGCTCTCGTCTCCGTATGGTCCGGCTTCATGGTTTCATGGTCTTGCTCTGCTGGGCTTTGTGTCTCTCACCCGAAGCCGGGGCCAGGCCTGTCAAGGCTGTCGAAGAGGGACTTCGGGTTCACGACCTGCGTGCACTCGGGCCCTGGGGCCCTAGGCCATGGAATGACCTGGGAATCTGCTCTCAGCTCCGGGCTGAGCTCATGCCAAGGAGTGAGAGACCGCTTCGGAATTCAGACATGGTCAGTCGCCGATCTCTGTCTGCATCGATCCCATCAAAGACCTTCCAGAGAATGAGAATGGCTCAGAACGCAGGGGAACTCTATCTTCCCCAGCAGCTACCATGTGCATGAGTGTGCGTGTGGCCCGTGGCGGAATCCCAACGACAGGTTGCTTCTGGGGGCCCTACGCTCCAGACTTTGTTGAAGTAGATCAAGTCCCTGCAGCAAGCTACCGCCGGCGAAGCAGCAAAATGCAAACCCAAGCTGCAGCAGCCTCAGCAGCATCGCAAACTCTCGCTTGTTCACGTAGCTGTCCTTCCGGGGGCTGGGCTCTGACAACTTGTCTGGCAAGCCTGCTCCCCCAGTCTGGCCTGGTTCAGGTCGCAGGCTTTGTACGCGCGCATGAGGGCCTTTGTCAACTTTAGTGGCAGGGGCAGGTCGCTTTACTCACTCGAGGAGATGTAGGGCAATGAAGGCAGGTCACTGGCTTGTTGTTCAGCTGTGGGTAGGTATCCACCACCCAGCGGTCAATCTCAGCCAAGCTGACGATGTTGTTGCCGTTGTAGTCAATGGCATCCCAAGCTTTCCAAAGCGCCGACTTGCCCGCTTCTGATCCATTCACCCAGAACTTGAACTTCTGTTCCAAATCGTCAAACTGTCCGTGGGTGTTGATGCTTGGGCTTGGGCCGCCGCTTTTGGCCGGAAACCTCGGGCTCATCTGCTGCATGCCTGCATTTGCGAGGCCGCGGGATGGAAACATCGTGTTGGCACCACCTGTCACAGCCTCAGAATCAGCAACGAACCAGCCTTGACAATGGAATGTATGCGCAGGCACTCACTGAGCCAAGAAGCTCCCTTGTTGGGGGACTCTGCAAGCGAGTATCCACCCACAGGCATGGCTTCTAATCTCTCACTCTGCACCCAGGCTTTGTGAGCGGAGCCACTGGCGAGAGCAGGTCAGATGCTGTACCGAATACAACAGTAGGCCCAAAGACTCAACACACCTTCTAAGTGAAACACAGCATGGAAGGGAGATCTGCAGGCTCACGAGAGGGCAAGGCGCATGCCACCAATTCCAGCAAAGAGCTCAAGCACACGCACCTCCGAGCGCCACATCAGCATATCAGCAGCCTCAAAGAGCTCCCTGAGCTGCAGACGGGTTCTGCTCCCGCATCTTGAGCCCTGTCTGGGTTCGACTCCAGCTCCATGGCGGTGGGAAACGCTTCCGGGCGCACGGAGCTGGAACTCTCATCTTGCTGCTGCTGTGCATCTTGCTGGGAATAACAACTTCAGCCTCGCAGTGCAGTAGAATCTGCTTGAAGGAGCTCTGCTGGCGCAACCGGCCGCGACGGCGAAAGTTTGCAGCAGTGCAGCATGCTGCTGTTCATGCACTTGCTGAGGCGAGTGAGGAAAGAGAAGCCTTTCGCCGGGAGTCTTCATGGCCATGCACGGAGGAGGCTCTGACAAGCTTCGGTCAGGCCCGTTTCACCATTAGCTGCTACTCCCGCTCCCGCTCCCACTCTGCTTCGCAGTGCTTGGAGGCCTGCCTGTTAGGCAGGTTGGAAAGGGGTACTAGAATCATGTCTCCAGCATTCTCCAGCATTGAATGTATATTTGCGCATTCCACTTCCTGCTCGATTGCTTCATGCCACCTGCTTAAAGCTCTACGCGGGCAGAAATCTCAGTGAAAGAGCCACGCCACGAACTCCTGGTAGTCCTCAGACGCAGCGTGCAGAACCGGGGACAGCGTGCTCAGCTTTCTTCGCCGTTGTGACCAGGCCAAGCGGCAATCAAGCCGTCACCATTGCAGTCGGCTTTCTCGAAGAGGATTCGCACATCCTCTTTTGCACGAAGCAGTCGCAGAGACAGCTGACGCAAAGCTCCGCCTTGTCTCTGATTTTGGGGTCCACTTTTCCTTGGATTCTCAGGGAGCATACATGCAGCGAATGCCAGTGGGATCTAACCTGGACTGGTCGCTGAGAACTGTTAGAAGCTCTCGTTCGGATATCTTGCCATCCTTGGCTTCTTGCAGCTCTGTCGGAAAGTGACACTCGCCTGCAGTTTCTCTCTTTCTTTCGCCAGGGCTCTCTCTCTCTCTCTCTCTCTCTCTCTCTCTCTCTCTCTCTCTCTCTCTCTCACGGACTCAGTTACCTGTCAACCGCGACGCAATACACAGCGGTTTCGCTATGTGCGTGTATCTACAAGAAAATGGAATGCGTGAAATGGGACTACCGAAATGACTACAAGGACCTCACATGCATCGCCCATTCATTCATCTGGGATGACTTCAATATGGATCGGAGGCAGCTGTGCGGACTTGCGTGTGTGCATAATCGTCCGCATGAGGGCGCCATGCAATGATACGAGAGCAGCTGGACATAGCTGGACATACCAGTTGCATCACGAATACGTTGCCATGCAGCATGAGGAAACGTGGTATAAACTGCGCCAAGACAGAATTCAGCGTACCACAGAAATAATTCTAGCCATCCAGAGGTTTCCCACAACCACTTAAACGGCCATATATCATCGAACCACGATCGAGCAAGACTGCACGGAACCACGATGTTGTGGCCAAGAAGGGATCCATCCACTTCAACCATGTGTTGTTGTGAATGTGTGTTCCAATAGTTTCAGCCCATGTTCTTCCAAGACAGTCGGAAAGAAGGACAACCATTGCTCCTTGTCCACATACAAGTTGGATAAAGCTTCGAGGGTCAAGGCAGGACAATCAAAGACTTCCTTCAATCTACTCTTGGCATCTCTTGCTGTGAACAGATGAGACGGACTAGCAGGGTGAAGTGTCCAGCCCGCTTTCAGTAATCAAAGCTCAGAAGGGAAAACACCAGCAGACCAGCACAACCCATTGAAGCCCTCTTCCCTGCAACAGCTTTTGACCCTTTCAACCAAAATCAAAGCCTATGAGAGATATATTATCTTCACCGCGGTATTGCGGCAAGCCAGTCGCCTAATTACATTTGCTGTAGTTCGTTTGTGCATGGTCGCATCCGCTGTTGTCTCGCATGTCTCACGGCTACCGGGTATAGGCTATAGGACCATAGGACCTATGCCCGCAGAAAAAGCCCGTCGCAATAACCCCCCGTTGGCAAGCACTACTTGCATTTGCTTCAGGCAGTCTGTGCGGGGATGCATGACAAGTTTTACGGGACTTTACATTGATCTTTGCCCAAGCTGCGCAGTTCACGTCCCACTTGGCAAAAGTGTTCCTCAGCAAAGACCGAACGAGAGCCACAGACTTAGCTTCACAGCTTTGGAAGTATCGTTCAGAAGCCGGCTGCACAGTTTGCTCGTCAGGAGACCTGGCGCCGTGTAAGCCTGCAGCCTGGTCACAAGAATGCTACGCGATCTTCAAACACCTTCTTGGAGGATGCATCTCTTGCGCCGTGTGCTGAGCCCTCTGCGGCTCGAATCAAGCCTGTGCCGCTCAAGTCGACGGACTGCCTCCCTGCTTGACCTCTCTGGAAGAACATTGAGCCGAACAGCCAAAACACCTTCAAAGCCAGCTTACGGCATCCTGGCCTCGATAGTCGCCGATATCGGGAATCCTGCGTGCCAGCTCCAAGTCAGAGGGGGCCTCGGGAGCCAAGTCCAGAGTGCCCTGCAGCAGCCGCATGAACTCGTTGTAGTGGAGGAACCCACTGCCGCTGCGATCGAAGTAGGCTAACATTCGTGCAGCCTCCTCGTCTGTCACTTGCGCACGGGCGCGATCGATTTCGTGCCCCAATGCCACCCCGGCACCCTCCAAAGCATGAAGAAACTCTTCCAAGGTCACAATCCCGTCGTCGTTGAGGTCGATGCTCTTGAACATCTTCTGCATGTTGGATCTTCGTTCAAACAAGGCCTCCCTGAGGTTCGTGACCAGCTGAGCTTCCTTGTGACCTAGTCTTGACGGAAATGACACGAGTTCAAAGCTCAACAAACTTGAGGAGGGCTGCGTACAAGTTGTCAGCTTGTTTTCTGGCTTCAGGCCGAAGTTTGGGGCCCCTAACCTCCAGAGTCCTAGCCTCGCCTCATTCAGACTCCTCTCACAAGAGTGATACGAGCTGAGCATCTGGCTGAGCTGGCTCACCCGCTGTTGAAGGACCAACTGCCGCAGGTGCCTCATGGGCTACGACTCGCAGGTTACTCCAAAACCCAACCCTCACAAAACAAATCGTGAAACTTCACACAGACTGTCAGAAAAACCTGCATCCTGCCTGCATACTGCACAGCCGAGATGCTCTTTGGGCTTCGACTGCTGCATCAACTCCCGCTTCCTTTCCTCCCTGGCTGCGGCGGCTGCATGGGCTCCAGTCAGCGCCCCGCTCCCCAGCTTTATGGTATCCCCCGCCGGGCCCCCAGGGCCCCCAGGGCCAGGGGCCCCGGCCCCGGGCTGTGCATCCCCTCGGGATGGGCCTTGGCCTTGACCGCCGCTGCCCTGGAGAGCATTCAGAAATTCGCTAACAGAGACGGTCGTGCCATCTCCAGCTCCATCTCCAAGGCCAGACAAGAGTTTCAATGTTCGAGGCTGATCGATTGAAAGCTGGAGCTGCTCTGCAAAAGCCGCCACGACATCTGCATCGACGGGAGGCAAGGAAGAGCCATCGCAGTTTCCCGCATTGGCGACGGCAGGCATCTGCATGCACTCAGACAAGGCCTCGGCAGGAGAAACACAAAGTTTCCGCAGCCGTTGTCGAAAACTCTTCATCACCTCCTCGTCGCTCAGATCCGATCCCAGCACGGTCTTCTTAAACATGTACTCGCTCTTCTCGAAAAGTCTGGTCTGCGAGGTGGGAGTGCAGCGAGCCGACCGAGCTTTGGTGGAGGAATCGAGTGTTTGCACCATCTGCTCACCTGTGCTTGGCGGCCGTGCGTCCGACTTCGCTGGTGATCTTGGTGCTCTCTCCGGCTCCGGTGTGGCTGCGGCTGCTGTGGCTGGAGCTTCCGGTTCGGCTGGTGACTGCGACGCGGCGTGCTGCGCGGCCTGCAGTGCACGCCGCAGCTGTGCTCTCTCCTCGCTCTGGGCCAAGGCGACCTTGCCCGCCTCCATGTCTTCCGGAGCCACACCAGCTTCCGCCCCTTCGTGGAGAGCAGCCCTGAGCGCGTGCACCTCGCCAGACTCCATCGCGTCTTTCAGCCTGCGAGCTGCCGTGGCCCGTCGCTGGAGTTCACGAAGCTTCTCCAAGGCTTCACTCTTCTCTGCGTCTGCTAGCCCCTCATGCTCTGCAGACTCCAACGCGGCCTGCAAGCGATCAAGGTCCGCGGATTGGCAAGCCTCCTTCAGCTCCTTTTTCGCAGCCTCTCTTGCAAGAAGGGTTTGCAGAAGATTCTGAGCATCTTCCAGAGCTTGCCCTGTGAAGCCTGTTCTGCTTGCGAAGTCAATGGCTCGCCTCAGCTCCTCTGCGTCCTCCGCTGCAATCGCTGCTTGCAGCTGCACCTTTGCAGCCTCCTCATCCGCCCTCTGGCGGGCAGTCGCCATCAGTGATGCATCAGCCTCGTTGCCATCTCCCCCCAAGCCTGTCTCCTGACCGGCCTTCAAAGCGGCTTCCAACACCTCCAATCGGCCACCCTCGGCTTCGTCTGACAGGGCCTTGCGCAGGCTTTGCCGTGCCCGTGCACGTGCTTCGGCTTGCGCGAGCGCTCGACGGCAGGCCTCCATCTCGGCTTCCTCCAACTTCGCCAGCTCACCTCGCCGCAGAGCCTCACGCAGACGCTCGACGTCGTCGGAGGCCACGGCGGATTCCAGAAGACTTCGAGCTGCAGCTTTGGCCTCCTCCTCCGCCAAAACCTTCGTGGCCTCTTCCAGCTCGTGACCATCCAGTCCTGCCTTGTGTGCGGCATCAATGGCCGCTCGAAGGCTGGAAACATCGCGGGACTTGCAAGCCTCCGCCAACATCTCTGTGGCATGGTCTTTCCTCGCCTGCTCTAACATCGCCTGTCGTTCTAGCTCTCGCTGCCTCTCTGCCTCTTGCTGCTGCTTCCTCGATTCAGCCTCCTCCAGTTCAGCCAGCTTCTCCATGGCAGCAGTCATACTGTCGGCTGGAAGACCAGCAGCCTGCCCTTGGCGTATAGCTGCACGCAGCTCAGCCATGTCACCGGACGTCACTGCATTCTGCAAGCTTTGCATTGCATTCGACTGCTGCTCACGACGGCGCAACAACTCCCGAGCATCGTCGAGAAGGAGAGCACTGACGCCAGCCAGCTCAGCTCGCTTCAGGGCTTCTCGCAGATCTTCGATTGTTCCTTGCCTGCAGAGACGACAAAGCACGAGAGTCACAAGAGTGCTGAGAGACGGAGAGCGACGCAGAGCGAGCGAGCGAGACTAGCCATGGGCGCCTCATCGCCTCTTCCAGTGCTTTGCTCGCCTCTTCTCTCCTCTGCAACTCTTCCAATCGCCGCATGGACGGTGCCAACTCGTCCGCCCGGAGCCCCGCGCTGCGACCCGCTTCTAAGGCCGCCTCTGGGCATACATGCTACATGCGCGATACAAACATGCTCTCATGCAAACCTCGCCACTGCCTGTAGGTGCGGAATGCTATCGCCAGCTTCTGCATCCAGCAACGCCTTCCTGGCGGCCTGCTTTGCCTGCGCAGGGTCACGTCTGAGAGATGACAAGCGGACAACTGGCCCTCGCCGCGCCGCCTCTTCCTCTGCCAGGACCCGACGAGCTTCTTCCAAGTCTTCACTTAAGCCAGCAGCTTCGCCCTTGCTTATTGCGGCCCTGCAACAGGATTCTATACAAAATCTTTCAGTGGCATGGCTACTCAAGTACACCAGTAGCAGTAGCACCGCTTAAGACACCAGACGTGAAGAACGATGGCCTCAGAGCTTCGACATTTCGAGAAGCGAGTGCTTCGCGAAGCTTCTTTTTCGCCAGCTCCTGCCATGTACGGGACAGGAGTTTCCGATTACCCGCACATAATGCAAACATGCAAAACAGCAGAATCTCTAGCGCTCGTTGTTGCTTCGGGGCTCCTTTGGATTTGCCCGAATATCAAGAACTTCTCAAGGGTCATGGAAACAACAAGGATCTGCTACTCTTCTAAGGAGTCATGCAAAGACTTACTGTAACTCCACCTTGCCTTGTTCTCCAGCTCGCGTAGCATGTCTTTGGCTGGGCGTATTTCCTCAGCAGTCAAGCCGGTTCGTTCTGCCGTCGCGATGGCTCCTCGCAACTGCCCAATGTCTTTGGCCTTAATGGCAGCTTGCAGCCTGGTGCGTGCTTTGGCTTTGGCATCTTCTGCCCCAAGTGCGGCCCGTGCAGCCTCGAGCTCTTTGGCTGGCAACCCCGCCGCCTCACCCTGGCGCAGAGCCTCCTGGAGGGCCTCTCTGTTTCGGGTCACGAGGGCTTTTTGCAAAGCCTGCCGTGCAGACGCACAGCGTTCCTCCTCAGCCAAGGCTTGCTTCGCCTCCTCGAGCTCAGGCCCAAAAAGGCCCGCCCGCTCGCCCGCAATCAGGGCATTCCGTAATTCCTCCGCGTTTCGAGAAGCCACCGCTTGCCTCAACAAGCGCCGGGCGGCATCCTTTCCATCGAGGCGTTGCAGGACGGCCTCGGCCTCTGAAATCTCGTGCGCACGCACTCCTGCAGCACGCGCTTCCTCTATCGCTGCCCTAAGCGCATCTGCATCACCGGATGTGCAAGCAGCACGAAGTGCTTGCGATGCCGCCTCTTGTCGCTCGACTTCTTCCAGAGTCTTCCTTGCTGCTTCGACGAACTGCGGATCCTCCGCTTCGAGTCCTGCTGCTTCTGCACCATCCAAGGCCACGCGCAAGGCCTGGCGATCTCTGCTGGCAACTGCATCTTGCAAGCGCCGCCTTGCGACGAGCTTCCCACTTTCTCTGCTCAATGCCTGCCTCGCAGGCTGAATTTCGTCTTCCGAGAGCCCTGCAGACTCTGCCTCCTCCAAGGCTGCGCGCAGCTCTGCTATGTCGCCAGACTTCACAGCTTCCTGCAAGCGCGTCCGGGCTGCAAGCTGCTTCTCCGCAAGGTTCAAGGCACTCTGCGCTGCCGCCAGCTCGGAAGCCGCAAGTTTGGCAGATTTCCCCTCTGCCAGGGCTGCACGCAGTTCGGAAGCTTCACCGCTCTGCTCTGCTTGACGCAGCTGCTCTCTGGCCCTTTGCTTTCGCAGCTCCTCCTCCAGGCAGGCTCTGGCTGCTGCCAGCTCCTCCTCCGAAATCCCCGCAGCCTGTGCTCTGACCATGGCTTCTTGCAGTAGGCGAGGGTCCCGCGCAGTAACGGCTTCTTGCAGCTCCCGTCTTGCTCTGGCCAGTGCCTCCAACTTCGCCAGCGCAGCACGACCTTGCGATATTTCTGCATCTGGAAGTCCCGCAGTTTCCGCCTCGACGATGGCTGCCTGCAAACGCGAAGTGTCACTGCCTGCGATGGCTGCATTCAGAGCTTCTCTCGCCGCAGTCTTGCGGTTTTCCTGGCCCAAGAGCTGGCGTGCAGGCATCAGCTCATCTGCAGACAGACCTGCTGCTTCACCGACATCCAAGGCCGAGCGAAGCTGCGCAGGATCTTTCGTAGCAATGGCATCTGCGAGCTCTTTGCGTGCCAATGATTTGCGCTCCAAGCCTGCGAGCATTATCCTTGCAGGTTGCATTTCTTCTTCTGCAAGGAGCCCGTTGCCGAATTCAAGCGCATCTTGCAACTTCACAGCATCCTGACTTTCCATTGCTGCTCTCAGCTTTGCCTGTGCTTCACTCTTTCGCATCACATCTTCCAACCTCGGCCGTGACGTGAGGGCTGGCAAAATGGCAAGAGATGATGGTGACAGATGCTGTCAACAAAATTTGGCCAAGGGACACCCTTTGGGCATCTTGGACAAGGGAGTCATTGGCACCGTTCTGTCGACCGAACTCAATGGCACGCTGCAGCATTGCAGGATCCCTGCAGATGGAATACACTTACACCGTCGCGAAGCAAGGGATGCGCTCACTATCGAGGCTCGGTTGAAGACCAAGAGGGAAACAAAACAGCATGACTTTCTATTTTGGAAAGGCCCAGCCTTGTGCTGATGGCATCTCTCAGGCCCTGGTCCGCAGCCTTCCTGTGTCCCAGTGCCTGCGAAGCGCACACCCGTCAGAAGCAGGGCATCGCCAAAGGCGTGGAGAAATGCCAAGTGCGCGGCGGCGAGGAGATCTCTGGCTCGCGCAATCTCGCAGGCATCGACGCCGGCCCTCTGTGCCAACGAAATTGCCTGTGTACGGTTGCCACTGGCATTCAAAATCTTGCAGAGTCAGCCCTGCCTCTTGCAAGCGGGCTTCGTCACCAGCATCCATTGCTTCCTGCAGTGCTCCCTTTGCTCGAGCCTCGCACCAGCTTAAGAGCTGATTGCTCCGGCTCACACACAAGATCAGGCGATAAGTACCAGCATGGAAAGATGTCTTTGCAGATCTTCGAAGCCTTCCGCTCTTCTTCGGCCAAGATCTGACGTGCAGGGGCGAGCTCCTGAAGGTTTCAGCTCTGGAAGTCCCTGCTTGCAGCTTGCATCCTGCAAGCATCCCCACGTCCTCCTCGGGCAAGCTGGCTGCCTCTCCATCCTTGCTACGGCACGGGATGTCTCACACAATGCCAGCCTGGTGCGCAGACGAAGATTGCTCCCAGATCGATCTTCCTCTACACTCTCCCCAGCTGTCCGGATGGCTGACACATGTAGTGGATCGGAGTAATGTCCGCACATGCAACGGCACCAAGTGCCGGGCTTCTATAGCTTCTTTAAGGTGCTCCACATCGCGACCTGCACGCGATTAAAGAGCGTTCCCATCAGAGGATTGAGGAGAAGACTGAGGCGACAGCTCCGCATAGCCTCTTGTAGGCGCTGTCTAACTTGATCCCTCCACTCCTGCGAATTGTCAGCCGTCATCTGTCTCTGCCTTGAAAGTCTTCGAGCCTCCCGGGCCAGCGCTTTCCGTGCTTCTGCCAAGCTTGCCTGCCCCAGGAGGCGCCGCGAAAGCAAAACGAAGCCGTTTCGAAGCGGTCGCGGAATCGTCGCGGAAGCGTCGCGTCTTCGCCTCGCCGAGGCCCGCCGACTGGGCATCCTCGAGCGCCCGCCGGAGCCTCGCAGAGCTCCGCGGCATCTCCAAGGCATCTTCGAGCCTTGGAGTCAGAACAGAAAACAGAGGGCAGAGAGGGTCAGCGGGCTTGGGCAGCGGCTCATCCTGCGCGGCTTCCTTCTCCTCTAGATCTTGCAGCTTGGACCGTGCTGCCTCGTGAAACATGAGATTTTTGGCTCCCGCATCATAAGGCCAAAAGTGTTGCTGGGAACAGACGCACCCGGCTCGCCTCGAGCTCCTCCGGCGCGATGCCGACCTTCTCGGCATCGTGCAGCGCTTTCCGGAGGTGCGCCTGTGACGCAAAGCTTGCATACTCTTGCCCGCGCACTGCCTCGCACTGCTCACACCTGCCAGGACCCAGGGCCCCTACAGCATTGCCTTCTGCTATGGCACCGGACAGAGCCGTGGCCTTCACAACGTGAAGCGATCAGAGGCAGGTTGAGGCTTTCTTGACTTTCAACCGTCATGACCACACCTCGGGCAGGTGTCCTTGCCGAGACGGTACATCAAGCATGAGAAACTGGAAGCTGAAAGCGCAAGGGGTCCTCCCCCTAGACCTGCACCCACCACGGTCAGTGCAGCTGCCTCGCCACTTTGCGCTTCACAAGCTTTTCGACAAATGGGAACTGTGCTGGACTATGCATCACACGAGCCAGAGAAGCTGCAATTGAAGCGCGCGCCTGCTTGTGCAGTGCCGAGGCCTTCTTTCTATCTCTGCGTGCGCGTCCTTAGCGCTTGCGCCGCACGCTCTCTCAACCCCCTCTCAGAGAGCTCTGAGTTGGAGGCGCTCCTCCTCAGTGGCCGTGGCCTCTGCGGCCGCCTCAGGAGAGTGCGAGCTGCTGCGAGCAGAATGAATGCCGGCGCTCTCTGGCTGCCCCAGCAGGCTGCCCCCGGGCGCCCGAGCTTGCAAGTTGTGGAGGCCCCTCGTGAACTCCCAACAGGAAACTCGTCCGTCCCCTTTCAGATCGAAGGCCTCCAGGGCAAGAAAGCATTTCGTTCGTAGGTTTGACTGCAGTAGGACTTTGGTGCCTTGAACACGGCAGATGTGACTTCGGGAGTGGCATCGAAGCCCAGGCTTGTAAGAGCGCCCTCGCAGGTTCCAGCCAAATCGAGCAAACACAGTCCGGCCGACAGTGCATTCCTAGCTTTCTCTCTCAAGGCCTGGAACTCCTCTTCATCGAGACCACCGCATTTCTTGAGGTCCCACTGCTTGAAAGCGTTTCGCAGGTCAATCTGCAGCCAAACGAGATCAGAACTCGCAACGAGACGTCTTCGTTGGCCTCCTTTTCGAAGATGACATCAGCGATTCGTGCTGCCGACCGCCGCAGGCCACTCTCGGAAGAGTCTGTCAGCTTGTCCTGCAACCATCTGATCAGAAGCTCCGTCTCGGCCTGTGGAGTGGCAGTCCTTGCTGGCATGGGCCGCGCCGCCTGCCACGGAGCTAAGTGGCAGGTCGCGGCACAGGCTGGCTTTCGCTAGCCTGCTTTGCCGCCGACGTGAGAGGGACGGCGCCCCGCTGCAGCAGTTTTCCTTGGGCCCGAGCTCAAGGACTCAATGCGTTTTTTCTGCCTCGTGTCAAGGCTTTCAAGGCGCGATGTTGGTCTGGCGGTCTCATCGCTGCAAACAAACTCGATGAACTCGGCCTCGGTAGCGGCCCCTCCCCCCTGGAACGGCAACGCCACCAACGGCAAAGTTCTTCAACCAAGTTCGTGCTGCGGCACGCAGGTCAGGCGACCGCTGTGGAGCACCTGCAAAAGGTGGGAAAATGCGAGATGTCTGGATTGGGCCCCCGAACCGACCTCGAAGGGAGCGAAGGCGGCTTTGAGCTGCTTCTCGGACACCCGCATACCCAAGCGCTCGGAGGCGCGTTTGAATTGCGGATAGCTCACGGACCCCGCCTGCAAAGTCGCGTGAACTTCTCGCCTCTCTTGGCGTTTTAAAGTCCCTCGACTGAGGAAGAGGCCGAATCTGGACCCACGGCATCGAAGGCATCTTGCATGACTGCTCTGTTTGCACGAGCATCGTGCCGAGCCCGCTTGGCCGCATGGAGCTTGACCTCTCACGGCAGCACGGATGGAACATGGTAGCAAGGTGTTCAGCACAGGGTCTGGCTGCAATGTCTGCGCGCAGCTTCTCATCACGCACCTTGGAAGCGAAGCACAGTTTCCAAAGCCTGGCGAAGTCTCCTATCATCAGCCCAGCCAGCCCAGCCCAAGGCTGCCACGGCCACGGATGGCCCGGATCCCATCGCTTAAGGCATGATTGACACTTCTGCCCTACGAGCTTGCCTATCATAGGTTGCACATGAGCATCCCGGGTACGCACATGCCTGGTGCAAGGTACCAGAGTCATTCTTCGAATCAACATGTGGCCTACCTCGCCTAGCCTTATCAATACCAGTGCGGTTGTTCTCCGTCATGTTAAATATCACATACCAATAACAACACTGAATCATTGAGCAGACATGCGTCAACACGGGCCTTGCAGTTCTGTGCCAACACAGGCCATGCCAAAAGCCGCAGGGTTGATCTTCTTTTGATGGCAAAAGCACGGCGGTATCGAAAATAGAGGAACTGAATCTAAGAGAGCTCCGACGGAGGCTCGCAGGGCTGAGCGTAAAGGTCTTCCTGAAAGCCGGTGAGAGCGCTTCCCTCGTCTTGATCGGCCCGGACTGCATCCTCCAGTGCTGTCCACCGGGATTTCCAGCCGATGCGGCCCCAGCAACGCAGTGCCAAGTACGCCACGAGAACTGGGAGGGGCATCAAGAACACTAATTGAGTGTAGGAGCCGTACAATATGGCCAGCCCGATCAGCGATAAGGTGCTCAACAGCAAACCCAGAATCACGCAGTTGAAGAGATCATACCAGAATACACCACTGCCGTCGAATTCCGAATCGTAGACGTGAGCAAACAACCACCTGTACGAGAGGGTTGACGCAGCAAAGTACACGGCACAAGCCGGTAGGATGGCAGGGGCAATGAAAGAGTAGGTAATGCCAATCACCAGAACGATGGCAATGCTCGATGCCTCATATCCGAAGGCACAGTGGATCTTCGTGCCTGATCCGGAGAGCCCACAGAACCCAAAGCAAATATCCGGCCTCAGCAGCAGAAGAGGAACACCCACGCAGGCTCTGGCCAAGACAAACGACAGGAAGTAAACATTGGCCTTTGGAAGAGAGCGAGCTAAAATGTCCAGTACCTGTGAGGGTTGATCCAAGATCTTCGTCAGTGAGTCCCACAGCGACCCTGACAGCACGGTAACGTACAGCGAGGCCAGCTGGTAGTTGAAACAGCGATTCAGCACCTGAAAAGAACATTCACGAGGCTTTGGAGGGGACCTGTTGGCCTGTTTCTACCCCAAACAAAGATGCAAAAGGTTGCTCAGGGTCCTGCAGAGCGCCACCCGCTCCACGCCTGATTTCGTCTTATGGCCTTCATAACTCCGTGCCATTGCTGCAAAGAAGTAAGGCAGCAGGGCTTGCAGCCCCATGAGCGCAAGAACTGGCAAGTAGCTCGTCATGAGGGCGTAGAGCGCAGGGGACCAAGCTTTCAATTCAGAAACGGCAGGGAACCACTGGGAAAGTGACTCAACATTCGCCCAGGCCTGAATCAAAGTTACAGGCACTGACCAGAACAGGACGCACACCACCGTGGCTGCCAACCCGATTTTCTGATGAAGTTCTGTCATGCCACGTGGCTTCAGAACATTCGACCATATCAAATCTCGTGGCTCTGGAGCTTCGCGCACCTGCCAACCTGAAGTGTGGCTTAGCACTACCTGTTGTGCTTCTGCACATCGCTCTGCCGAGCGGAGTGTCACAAAGGCGGTGGCTGGTCCGGTGTTGACTTGGATAAGATGCGCGGCTGCTCGGGCTGAGGGGTGAAGGTCCGGCTCGTCATGGCCAAGGCAAACACAGCTATAGACACAAGCAGGTCCATAGAGCTTCTCAAAGAAGGCGGTGACTCCTTGCTCCGACCATGAGGCTGAAGGCACATCCTCGACCATCAGGGTCCGGCGGCTCTGAGCAATCGCAGGGCCACAGGCTCCAGATACAGCTTTCACGAAGTGCTGTCTCTTGATGCCTCAGATGAAAGACAATCTGCTAGCGAGCCGGAAGCCAAATGGACAGGCACTCAATTCCGTGCCTAATTAGGGCTCGCAGCACACCTTCAGCCTGGGCACTCACAAATGCATGCCATTCACGAAGAATCAGGTAGCCAAACGTCAAGGTCAGCATGTAGGCGGCCAAAATCACGCACCAGAAACGTGTGGATCCACCCAACTTGAGGTTCGAAAGGCTCATAGCGTTGAAGCCGCTGGCCTGCCCGGGACCTGTGGCATACATCGGCAGGAGCACGCAGGACAAGGCCGTGCCGAGCAAGCTGAATTTGAGACCAAGCTGGCAGAAACGAATCAGGATGGTGGCATCAGGCTCTAAATCCTCAGCATACTGCAATACATTGTGATACACGAGAACATAATATAACATACTATACCATACTATACTACCAATACAAATACCATAATGAATCATCTACTTGTTTATCCCATAATGTATCTATGATATACCAGACAGAAATCCACGGGCTGATGGCGCTGTTCCCAAACCTTCCGTGCCCAGGCAGTGAATCCGCCAGACAAAAAGCGAGGGAAGCGGGAGCAAATAAACCCGATGCGCTCCGGTGGCGGCAGCTTTGGTGCCAAGAGCTGACGTGTGCCTTCCCTTCTCAGGAAGAGCTCGAAAGCGCCTGAGCTTATCATCTGTCACCGTGCTCGTGGCACTCTCTGAGTCTTTCACATAGCCAAACAAAAACACAAGATTCTCAGAGCAAAGAATTTGAGTTCACGAAAGACCATATGCCATATGCTGATGCGCAGTCTTTTCATCGTCCTTAAACATAAGCAGTCTCCGAAGGCACCGAGGAAGACCAGCAGAAGGAGCGCGTTGGTGAGGATGGAGAACTTCACCGCTTCAAGGCTGCTGTCATCGGCCCGTGGAGGTGGCATTTTTCGATACGAAACGAGTGACTAGGACCCTCAACCCTAAACCCTTTTCTGGCTGCCGGATACGAAACCGGTGACGAGGACCCAGGGCCTTGGGTAGATTCTATTTGTTCTTGTCGGGTTGCATTGTTTCATAAATCTTAGTGTGTTAAGCATACGTCATCCGTAGAAATACTGCGGCAGCTGTACACGAAGGCAAGCCGTGCCAGTGCGGTCGAATCTTCTTGCCTTGATGCCATCAACAACTGGTTCCGGGATTGTATACAAATGGGCGCTTGTCAAAATCAGGGTCCCTTGCTGGGTCCCTATTGCAATACAGATTTAGGGTACCCAAAAAGGTACCTTGATTTTGACAGCTACCCAAATGGACAACACATGCCTGCCATCACGGAGTGCGACTGGCAAGCTCAGGAATCCCTCTGACGACGAAGAAAAAAGCTGAACCGATAGAAGTATCCCAAGCCAGCCCAAACCCATCTCTTGTTAACTGACTCCTGACTCTCGACCACATGTTCAGGTCAGAACGGGCAGAACGAGTCGCTCGGAACGGATGCAAGTTCTCAGCATTCGCTTTTTGCTTTTTCTGCTGCAGGGCGGGCCAAAGCGGCCACCAGCGGCTCCTACTCCACGGTGCAAGAAAGGAGCCTTTCGACAGGTGCAGTCTCTTTCCTGTTTCGCCCGTGCGGCTTGAAGCAAATCAGCAAACAGCGGCAGCCATTGCATCATGCCGAACTTTTTGCACCTATATCTTCAAAGTAACGAGTGATGCTGACTGAACGTTGCGGTTCATTAGCTCCACAGACGCGGCGAGCCAGTCATCTAGACAGCAGACCTTTGGCAAGCTACCTCTTTGAACGCGAGCCTGGCAGCTGATACTGAACTTGCTACAACACTTCCTTGCTGGGAAAATTCGAGCTACGAGGATGAATGCAGCACTCACTAGATCTCATCCAGTGCGGTCTGCGGGAAGGTACGAGCAGCCACCTTGTAGGCTGCTAGGAGAACTCACACAGCAGCCAACCCTCTAAGACTCTACACAGAAGCAGAATCTGCTCTTTCTAAGGCTCGCCACCGTGCCCCAGTACCTCGCAACGGCTGCGAGCGTCACGCTCTGTAGCTCAGGATTTATGCCGCAACTCGCGGATGCAGATGTCTGGGTCCAAGCTGCTTCTCCACCTTGCCCTCTGCATCGACCAGGATAGCCCACCGAGAAGCGGACACCTCAGACCCTCATCAAGCTCACAGGAGCAGACACGAGAAACGCATGTCTGCCAAGCTGCACCTAGGGCCGAAGAGAGTGACAAAGCCTCGCAAAGCAGTGGGAAAGTGAACCTTGGCTCGGCATGTGGTCTCGACGGCTCCACTCCCGAGTTTACTCAGACAAACAGAGGCTGCAGACGAAAACTTTGTGGCAAAGGCCTGGTTCGCGCTTTGGGAATCGCCCGAGCCTCCGCACAACATGCTCAGCGCGGACACCCAGGCATGTTACAGGCGACTGGCGAAAACGGCGACCAAAACTTGACGCACAGCAGCTGCCATGTCCACGGCGTGGCGCGTCCAGAAGCTGTAGGAGGGCTTAGGCGATTCTGCTTCTATGTTTATTATCGGGGCACCAAACGTGGATACTGCAGGTGCGCGCAGACCATTCACCGTGCGTCGCTTCGGAGTGGTTGGCACTGCAGGAAGCCACAGAACTGGGTCAAACTGAATGGGCATCTTTGGGTTATCGTATGCAACTCAATTGCAGTGCTGGTTTGGAGGCAGTGCCACCATGCCACATGGACCTAGGCACATCAAGAGGTGCAAACGAAAGTAGTGATGCCGGAACTGAACTTCAGGCTCGCAGTTTCTAACAGAAGAACCTTGCACCATGTGCACTCCCAGAGCACTATGCGCAAGACTTTCTAATACATCAGGTCGTGAAGTGCACCCACCTACAGGAACCCTTGAAGCCAGCATCACGTGCAAGTTGCCTAAGCGCATCTTGGTTGGAAGAAACTGCTTCAGACCGAGATTCGACAGAAGCCGCGTTCTCTAACCCACGGACACGGTGACGCACTGCGACGCAATACTTGCTTGGCTCGTCGGCAAAGTCTGGCATCGTGGGACGTCCGGCCCCCGTCAACTGGGGGATGAGTTCCAAGACTGAGATCACGAGTCTTCATGACTTGACTGGGTTAAAGCCACGCGAATATGAGGCAGGCCTCAATGTGAGTTCGTCACTGCGAGGCCGTTCACGGTCAAGCATAACGGTAAACATGTTGAGCTTTTTCTCGTAATTTTTGGAGATTACATTACGCGAGTAAATTCGTCAGGCAGTACATGGCTCGAACGTGCCGAATGCCAACCAGCATGGCCGCGTTTTCGACTCAACGTCCTGATCCTGCCATTTTTCAAAAAGGGCCAAAACAGATTAGGGCGCATACATGCGCTTGTGCATGGTAGCATGGCGGCGACTCCGAAAGTAGCATGTTGCGGGCCGGATCGTGCACGGCAGGGATCGCGAGCTGCGCCATAAGCTCGACTGCTTCCCACTCTGAAAGAGCCCGCGCCTCCCATAATGTTGATGTTCTTCTCAGCGTACTTATCAAGCAAGGATTGGAAACCTTGCCCCTCAGCCGTTCAGCCCGGAGTGTCTGCCTGCAAGGTGAATTTCGACAAGGTCTGCGAGTGTCGAAATTATGTGGGGTGTCTGGGCCCACCTTCGGATAGAACCAGATCAAGGTCTTCTTCCCTGAGTCCTTGAGGGTCTTAAGCGACACCTGCAATGGCAAGACGGAAAGGCGACGTGGTATAACGTGGCATAGACAGTGAGTCAGCAACATCTCTGGCCTCGTTTCCAAGGTGGTCGCGAAGACTGAAGTCCGGAATCGCGTCGCCGGTGTTCGGCATGCCGTCTTAACGCAAGGTGATATGCACAATGCACGACAGCTCCCGAGTTCCCTCTGACTGAAACCTGCTGGCATGCATTGCCTTGACCTTGACAACCTTCGCTGATTCGAGCAGGACAGGATCAAGCAAAGGCTCCGGGAGTGGTAGCCAGCAACAGCTGGACGGCGGAGACTCTTTTCTGCATGCTGTGCAGGTACGAAGGTCAGGTGTCGCCGCCGGTCTTCCCCAAGAGCTGACGCCTGAGCCCGGCAATGGCATGCGAAGAGGCCAGCTCTTGGCTGATGCGACAGGCCGAGATGCCGAGAAAAAACCCGGCAACGGCTTTCCACCTTGGCTTTGCTTCGTGCAGGCATGTCCAGGGGCGGCCACACAATTTGTCAGAGACATCTTATCATCCTCCAACTTGTGTTCAGACTGGCTGCCAGAGCCTTTCCGGAACTTGAGACCGTCGCGATCTTCGCGACGTTTCTGGTCGTAGATGGAGCCAATGCGCAGCCAGTCTTCACAAGGGCCTCAGGCAGTCTTCGCATGTGACAAGTCTTGAGCTTAGGGCGGCCGAGGCTGTGACCAGGAGAAGGCTTTTTGCGCGACCTCTCGCCAGCCCAGCCTTTATCAAGGTGCCGGACGGTCGTTTCACATGTGAGGAAGGCATGCAAGGCTCGCCTAGACCAGTGCGCGACATGTTTGGCTGAAGACCCTCGACGACAGCCAGTAGCCTGCACACATCGCACTGGTGACTGGCACAGCGAATTTATGACTTTTCTGCCAAGCTGCGTGCTGCTGGGCCTTTTGACTGAAGGGTCGGCGCCCCAAGATCGCATGATCTTTCCTGCGTCAGGACTGGCAACCTCCGGTGCTCTTTGCCCGTGCACCCGCGGCCCTGTCCTGCGACACCACGCTGCACTGCCTCCAACCCGGCACCCTGCTCTACAGAGGGTGCTATGGTAGCCACGTCGTCGTCACTTGAAACTTCACCTTAGATCAAGCTATATCAAGCCCGAATATGCATGGGCTCCCTTGCCACACTCGTGGTGCTGCAGCTCGGCTCTTTAGGCAAGAGCTGGCTTTAGTGCAGTATGCTACCATGCAGGTGCACTTACAAGGGTGCCACATGCATGTCCCAAAACGACTCCGAGATGCGCGGCTCACTCTCGACATCCCAGCCATCTGCGCATCGCTCATCCAGATCCCCTGCCAACCTATCCCAATAGGCCGCATCTGTGTACCTGATGGCTGAGCATGCCTGCGCTGGCTTGAAGTCTGCTGCTATACATGTTGTCACCTGGACTTTCAAATGCAGACAAACGGCCACACCAAACCAGATGCGTCCTGTTTGTCCCAGATGTGCTCCACTGTGTCCTGTGATTCAAGCTGCGGCTGAAATATGCGTCGAAGTGACTGGTTTGGCCCATCCTCGTAGAGGTATCCTGCTGCTGAGTCAAGCCGGTCACTCCGCTCGTAGTGGGGTGCCTTTGCCAAACATCAGAACAGGGGCGACACCAAGAACATTTTTGGGGTGTGTTCTCTACCACGTTACTTTCGGGAGCCTGTAATGTGAACATTACGTCCTTGGCAGTAACCCATATGCAGGCCGCACGAGACATGTAACGGAGAAGCAAAACGAAGCTGTAACGGAGCTGTGCCGGAGCTGTGGGGGGACCAGCCAGACCTCCAGGAGCCAAAGGCAGGCATTCCGCGAAGTACATTTTTCCATGGAGAACACGGACTTGGAGAGTTGAGAGCTCCAGCGAGACATGCTGTCAGGTTCTGATCGTTGGCTCCAGGAGGGTGCAAATGAACCATGCAGAAGGTTCGGATCTGCTGCCAGATTTCGCGCACTACAGCGCACTACACTTGTACTCAACCACCAGGAGACACCAGGACTCCCACAACGACGAAAAGCGCACCGCCAGGAGGCCACCAAGAGACCAGACGACCAGCAGGAGAACACAAGAAATCACAACGATACCAGGAGACCCAGAGGACAAAGAGACCACCAGGAATCCACGAGACCACCAGGACACCATCCTGAGTTGAACACCAAAAGATCATCAGAAGACCTTCCACGACGAGCACTGCGACCGGTGTAACAGCATGGACTCTTTCAGCATACCATAATTGACAAAAAGGTCCTGGCAAGTCTAGAGCACACCCCCAATGCCCAAGAGAACACCGAGGCCCGGCATAACCCGGCCTTCTCTATCGGCTCATCGAAATGATCGTCATCGTCTAGCGGCCGTGGGACGTGACGTCCTGCTGTACAGAATGATTGCCCGAGTTCAGACAGAGTGCTGTTACGTTTCCGCGCACGGTTCCAGTCCTTCAATATCCTGAGAGCCATCGCGGCTGCCTCGAATTTACACTGCCCGACTCCAGAAGACTCTCGCGTGTGTAGTGCAGGGAATGTCTTGGCATGCGGTTCTTAGCTGCCCTAGCTTGCAGCAGGCTGCTGTCGTCATCGTGCGCGGCACACCTCGGTCATGTGCGGAGGGGCTGTACCTAACTCTCTCCTTTCAAGCTCGCAAGTGCCCGGCATCATACGAGGGCGGAGCTTCGTGGCTTTTTTGCCAGGCCTTGGGTGCAAGTTTCTTCCGACCGTGCTGGCCGCAGAACGGTTCTGTCCAAGCCGGATTGGACCTCCAAAATCCTGAGCTGGACACCTCGGTTTCGGTGGCGGCGGCTGCTTGAGCTTCTGAGCGTCCTCTTGGCGGGCAAGTAGATGCGATACCTTTGATATTATGATATGTTTGCCTACCGGGAAAAGCGACCAAGAGGAATTGTGAAAGAAGAGTGCCTCCTCGGCCTTGTCAGCCTCTCTCTCGGTCGCCGGTTGCCTGGGCCTTTGTGGCCGTGGCGGCCCCGTTTTACCTCACAGCAAGGTGCTTCAGGCTTTGGAAAGTCGCCAAAACTTTGCATCTCCTTCGGCCCGAGCTGAGCCGGCGTTCCCGGCTGAGTGCAAAGATGGCCGTGGCGAAGGAGGCAGTCGAAGGCACGCTATGGCTTTGGGACTCCTTGGCCAATTGGATGCGACCGGAGGCGTTTTCAGAATTCGCGTGACGCGTCCTTGGGTTGCTGAGATGGCTCCGGCGCCTGCCCAGTCGAATGTGCATCACCCTTCAAGAACGCAGGGGCCATGAGCGGTTGCCTGCCAGGCCAGTGGAGGAGGAATAGCCGCAAAGTCTCGTGTGCTTCGCACGCGGCATGACGGGCCAATCCCGAGCCTGAAACGGAAGAAAGCCAGCCGCTACTTTCGTTGCAGTCCACACGCTGAGCCTCTTCACCACTGCAGCTGGCCTCTGAGCGTGTTTCGTCCGGACAGCGTGTGCGCAGCTCAGCAAAATGCCACAGCTGAAGCTGAAGCTCTGACAGTCTGCAGCTACGTATCTGGGACAGAATCGCGGAGCGGCTCGTGCCAACGTTTCCCTTGCCATGTTGGGAGCAGTTGCTGCACAAGAGCCCCGAGCTCCTAGAAAGGCCTTCGGGAGGGCAGGGGGCGGATGCAGCTCCCAGACATCCTTGGCTGAGAGCACAAGGGCAGCATGAAGCAAAGTTTGTCTCAGTGTCGTCACAAGTGCAGCTCGGGACTCGGTCTGCTTGCTTTGGGCGGGGGCTTGGGAGATGAGGCACCGAGACGCACGAGGAACCTGAGACTTACAGAGCAATGCCGAGCGCATGTGCACCAGCTCAGAAGGTCGCTCTGTCATTGATTGGATAGACATTGTTCAATCCTTCAGCCCGTCACAGCTGCATCCACCAACACCTTCACGAAGATAGCAATCATGCGCAACTCATGCATCACCCCGGCTGGCCTCCTTCCAAGGAACACCATGATAGCCAGATATGATCTTGGCTGCAGCATCCTGGGTTGCCGGCATGATCTGCCTTATTCTCGCTGAAATTTGGTTTGCCCTTCGCCTGGCTGACCGCACGCGCCAAGCAGGTCAAGCCGCCAGCGGCTGCAGCACGAGCGGCGCCCTGGGTTGCAGGAGTGTGACGGCGAGTGCCACTCCAAACCGTCAGCTGAGCCAACGATATGCTTGCAGATCAACACGACATGTTATCTATGACAATGAGACCTGAAGGCTTGTCAAGCTCGAAGAAGGGGGCCTGCCGTCGCCGAAAATGGAAGCACGAGAAGAGGTCGCCCCTTCAGCCGGACTTTGTGCAGACCCGCTCAATGAATCCACCGTGGCACGTGTTTGGCTAACCGACACTGAAGAGCCGAGCCGTCAGCTCAACTGCTGGCTTGAAGAAAGCCCGGAGATCCGGCACATGCAGCTGCTCGGGGATTCCCTGGCCGGCACGAGGTTCAACGCCCGATGAAGCGCACCTTTGCTGGTCCTGTATGAGCAGGAGAGGAGCTTTGTTGCATTGGGCCATTCCACACGAGCTGCATCTGCAGGCTATGGCCCGTCCCGGGTCAAGATCAAACCTTTCTATAGATTTGTTTGGTGTACCCCTGCCCTACAAGAGGATGAGACTGGTCTGCGGCCTTGCTTCCGAATGCTTTTCCGGCCCGTTCTTCAACATGCATGACTCTTTCTTCGCTTAAAACTGTCAGCGATGCGGGCCAGACAGAACAGCAGGAGTTCGCGCTCACTTAGTTCTGACAGGTGCGGCCACAAACACCTTGCATGATCAGCGCAAGTGCTTTTGGCTGGCAGCTGTAGTGATGCACAGCACGGGGACTACAGGCAACAAGGCCAATGTGGAGGGGTAATGTTGCAGGAGCCAACACTTGGCTGCATAGCTGTTCCAGCTATGCTTGGCTTGCGAAACGGGCGAGAAGACTTCCAGTTGAAGTCCATTCCCGCATTTGCCCGCGAAGAGGGCGGGGGCGCTGCCGCAGAAAGACGTTTCACTGTACAGACTTAGATGTCGTGTCCTTGGAAGGATCCTCCCAAGGCTTCTGCCAGCACAGGCCGCTATCCTGTCAAAAGTATCGAAGGGGCGCTGGAATCAATTTTGACAGGCCGGCGGCAAAAACAGGCATCAAAAAACTTTGCCCGAGGCCTCCTTCTGGAGTCCGGCTCTACACTACTACTCTACACTCGACTTTCCTGGTCCTTGTCATTGTCTCGACAAACTCCTATACTCGTTTTCTCATTCACTTGCCCGGCGCTTTGTCCTGCATTCATGACTTCGCAGCTCCGACCCTGACTTCAGCAACACCGGCTGTCCTTGCCAATATGCACCAAGCCCACAGTGATATCGTCCACAACCGCACCACCCTCTTCGCGGATCCAGCCTCGCAAGAGACCCCCCCAATGCATGCTAAGCTTTGCGCTCTGGGGCCCACGGGGGCCCACTGTGCGCGCGACGATCCCAAGCTTCTTTGGCCAGCAGCCCTGCTGCTTGCTCGCTCTCTTCTGCTGGCCGCGTGCTGACGAGATCGACAGCCTGACACGAACATCAACGAATTGTTCTGCTCCTCCTGCAGCTCCCCTTCTCCCCTCCTCCCTGCTCCCCTCCTCCATTCCTCCTCAACGTCAACATCATGACGAACCACCGCCACCGTCTCATCCTCCCGCTCGCTCTGTTAGAGATTGCCCCAACCAAATGTAGCACCATGACTGGACTATGACCACTAGCACCGCCACCACCACAATCAGCAGCAGCAGCAGCAAAAAAAAAAAGGAAAAGAAACACATAATTGACCATCGATGGCCATCAACATAACCATGACGATGACGAAGTCGGCGGCAATGATGCTGATGGTTGACGACCATATTTGCGAGGGGTGATATTGACTTTTGTAGTGCAGCAGTCATACTGCCTCACGATTGCACATATGCGAGTAAGTACATCGTTTATCATCGGTTCATGGTATGGCCGACCGACCCATGGCATGAATGAATGCGCGGAAAACACACCGGCTGCTTCTATTTAGACTGCACCCTTGACTGCTGCGCCTCTTGTGCCGTTATGAACTCCCACACACCGTCGCTGCAGACAAGCAGTAGCTGCTCTGCCCCGGTCTGCAGCTCCACCCTCAGTTTACAATTTCGCAGCCTCCTACTCTCCTCATGCTCCATTCATACTCCGCTTCAGGAGAGTGCCGTGTGATCTCTGGCTCAGCGGTGACCCCACACTCTTCATGACCTGCACTTGCCAGATCGCAGGGTAGTATGCCAATGCCGGCATCGGCGAGCGGCGTCAGTCCGATTGCAGCTCAGGTGCCGATTATATCACCCAAACATCGCGACATATTGAGACCAGGATATCGAGAGTTTTTTGCCTGGGCTAGAAACTTCCTCCAGAAAACTGTCCACTCTCTGAATCTCCCGCGAATAAGGCGCATAAATTCGATGGTTTGCATAGCCATCAAAAACCTGGGATGATGACCACAGCATTTGATGACCACGGCATTTGGTGGGAGCGGACAAGAGAACACACAGCCGCCTTAGAGTAGTCGCCCCTCTGGATGCCAAGCGACGATCGTCCCACCCTTCTTTTCTATTCGCTCGCGTTCACCCTGACATCCACAGCCAAGAGCCAAACAGAACGGCATTTCACACAGCCGAGCAGAGCCTTGACATTCGGCTTGTGGTCTTTGGTCACGGACGTACCGATCCACTTGCCACCTGACCATGCTCGAACCCAGGACCCTCCACACAAAGCCATGTAGTGAAAGTCCAACATCCTGTACTAACAGGAGAGTCACATCCGCTTTCAGGGGCCTTTCTTGACCCCAAAGGCAGCAGTGCTGTCCGCCTTGCATGTATTGGTTCGTTGCAGTATCTCGCGCTCACCTAGACCTAGACTGCCACATCGCAACTCAGCGTAGCCACCACGTGAGCGATCGTCAGCTTCTCGTGCAAGTGATCCTTGGTTGCTGGTATGACGAAAACGTACAGTGCGCATGTGCATAATTATTCATCTGTGCTCGCAAAGGCTCGTCTGCAGCAGCAAACCCAAGGCTCCCACAAGTTCATACCCCTCCCTCAACAGCCTTTTCTGGCAAGTGGCGAGGAAGCAAACAGTTGCTGTGGTGCCGGACATCTGCGCACTTAAACGTTTGGTCTTATCTGCGGCAGTGACCTAGGTGCACCAACCGAACAGGCAAATAATGCAAGCATTACAGCAGTCTTGATTGAACCGTGTCCAGATGCATTGAAGGAGCAAGCTTCTGAACCTTCTTGAAGGAATCGACGAGACAAGAGCCGACTTCGGGTGATTTCGACCTAAGCGCACAGACGGCCATGAAGCATCTCCCCTGCAACTCGGGCGAACGCTAAATGATTCCGTGACGAGGAACATGTCGATGAAAAGCTAAGCAAAACCGCTGCTGCTGCTATGGGATGTGTGTATGTATGTATGTATATATATATATAGTATAAGATCTATCCATCCATCCGTCCATCCATCTATCTCTAGATGGGTATATGCATATTTGCCAGAAACAGGTTCATCTTCGCGCCAACAACAACACTGCCATTCTTGCCAGTAGCTGTTTAGCTGATTACTAAATACCCAGGAGCGGACGAAATGCCGTTAGAAACGAAACTCCAACTTCGACACGAGCAATTACCGAACACATGTCAGAATCACAACCCACACACCATTTCCCTCGCAAGTCCGGACCTCGGGTCCTTCAGGATAACTTTCGGTAGAAATTCCTGCGGCGAGTCATCCCAGCATCTCGTCTCCTTCATGCAAATTCCGGAGGCCTTCGCGAACTGGGAGATATCGTGGCCCTTCTGGCCATGACCATCAAAGACTGCAAAGATGGAGAAGGTGTCCTTCAGCCCGAGCGTGCACGAAGCACGCGCAAGTGTGGTGCATGTCGACCAGCTCTAGTCAGCCCGGTCCATCTTCACTAAACACCAGGAATCTTGGTTTGGACTCTCTGGCTTCAGACCTCAGGTCGACTTGTGGAGGCTGGGGGCTCCACCGGTGACCGGTGCGGATGTCAAAACTGAATCAAGCCAAGCAACCCTTTCGGCAGGTGAATGCAACGCCCTTTCCGGAAATGTCAATGTTGTCACCCAGCGCTAGGAGAGACCTTCCAGGAACAGCGAAGGACCCGCAGGCCGCAGACTCCAACGGGCCGTTGCTCCGTGCAGCCCAAGAACTTGTTTGAGAAGGATGCCATCCCCTGATCCTGGGTGCCAAATACACGCAGCACCCAAAACGAAAGCGATTGCTTGATCTGTGGACCCCGGCAGTGAGTGAGCCCATATAGGTTTTCGGGCCGCCACGGGCAAGGTCCATGTCATCGATAATGTCAATCTCGGCGCCGCTCGCTTGGTGCTGATGGTGCTTTCCGACTCGGGTTCCCCAATGAGGCTCATGCCACTGATTTGGCTTCGAGCTGCGCTATCAGCTCACCTCGCTTGCGGGACCGGGATAGACCACACAAGCCTCTGAGAGAAAGCATCAAACACGTCGGGCCGGCAGTCTGCTGAAATCGCAGCTGCGGATTTCTGCGCGTTCGCCTTGGCGGTGCGTGCGATTCACTGTGAGCTTGCAGCGGGATCTCGCAGCCTCATCGACGATCAGTCGCTTTCCCTCCTTTCCTGCCTGATCACGAGGCAGGGACTAAGGCTGTGCTGGAGATGACGCTATGAAAACGCCTAGCAGGTGCCTTCTTCTTGGCTCCTTTTTTGGGGGCAGCTCCGTTGGAGGCGCAGCAGCCCATCGTCCTTGCGCCGAAATCAATTGAAACTGTTTATCCGGAGTTCCACACACCAAACTTCAAGTGCCAGGCCAAGAGGTGCGGAGACTCTTTGGGCTAGACCTCTGCCTCCGCCTAATTCCCGTCTGGGCAGCGTCCCCTTCCCCCCGCTGAGCCACGACATCAGGCTGCGAGAGGAACGTGATCGCACGATACTTCTTTAGACTGGAACCACCACCGAAGGTAGTTCCCCCAAGCTTGCATGCCAGTTAGTGGAAGAGATGAAAGTACTCCTGAGACCCGTTGATCTCACCACACGATGCGGGCAACCACAACCCCGACGCAGCCCTTTGGATTCTGACATATTCTGGCCTTCTGGTTACAATTGTTTCACACTGATCTAGAACAATTCATTTTTCACACCCCTGCTGCCAGCGCCACGTCTCGGCCCCGGAGGATTGCGACCTGCTCTTTCGCCTCGCGAAGCTCCAGCACACACTGGGCATTGGAAGCTCACTCACCGCATCGGCCTCCTGCGGAAGGAGAGCTTCCACCGGGAGGATCTGGAATCCTGGAAGGATAACAGGGACACTTCAAGTGGTGGCTGCACGGGCTTGTTCAGAGTTAGAGCCTTTGTCGTGCGGAATCCAGGAGCCACCGCTGGCAGCGGTCGCCTGCCTCGTATGTGGAGTACACACTTTTAGACTTCAGGTGGCTTTCAGCTCACTCAGTCGCCAGCACATTGTCCAACTTGCCTTGCAGGGCCTTGCGACGGACTACACTTGGAGGTGCCTCATAGAAGTCAGACGAGCCTTACGGAGCCCTATTGTGACCATCGCGCACCTCGAGGTCCGAAGGTCCACCCAGCCCAGGCAGTCTGAAGGTAGCCCGGAAAGTCCCGTTCTGGGCAAGCAAAGAACGCGCATCGAGTGGGCACTGCTCAACTAGACGTGCCAAGTGACGGCATCGACGGCCTCATCCACCGGACCCATCGCCATGGAGATCCAAGATCCTCGAAGCTCCTGCTGCATCGAAGGATGCGACATCCTCCCGTCTCAAAGCAAAACCATCGGCACCTCTTGGTACACCGTCCAGTCTGCCCGAGGCCAGCCGTCAATATGAATCTCGACTCGCTGCATCGGCGTCGGCACCTACGCAAGCGAGCGCCTCGATCCGATCTGGAGAGCTGGATTCAACGAGCTCCCAGCCGCTTCTGCTTTCTCCTCTCGGGCCCTGAAACCGTACGATGTAACTCTGCGACACCCGAAGAGGTACTGTGCACCCTCTGTGAGAAGCCGCCGCAAAGGCGCGGGCGCGGGCGCGTGCGTGCCGGCGGGCGGCCCGTGCTCGAGGCCTGAGCCGCTTTTGCCTCGGAAAGGGCGGAGGCAGAGCCTGGGTTTTCTCACCGGCAGGGCTCACGAGGGCCAAGGGGCCGTTCTGCAGGCTGTCCAGAAGAGACGAAAACTTTATCCGACCTTGCAAGCGAAGCTCGTGCCCATTAAACATACCCTCAGGTACTGTTGCGGATATTAGACCCCAAACCCTGGGTCTAATATCCAAACCCTAGGGTCATGCAAAGGGTCATTTTAGACCTTCACGCCTTGGCCTATGATCAGGTCTCTGTTGGGGCTGTTGTGGCTCGACATTGCTTCCGTTTTTGCGTGCTTGTCCCCTGCCGGCTAGGCTCCTCCCCGGTCCCAGTTATCGTCTCTGGTTCTGCTTCTGTCCGTTTCGGTTCCTCTGGAAAGTCTCGGGTTCGTTGTTCTTTTCGGTTCCAAACCGGTTTCGGATCGGATGCACCCCGGTTCATTGTGGCGGTTGGGCTGTGGTTGTGTGGTGCTGGTTTCGGTTCGGATCTTGCTGCGGTCCAATTGAGTTGCGGGGGCCCACTTCCGAGGTCATCCGTTGCCGCCGCCCCTGCATAATGTCGCCTCCCAAATGTCCCACTTCGCCTTTCAGCACTCACACTCGGACAAGCCTTGGCGAGGTTCCCTGGTCCCACGACAGGCACATGTGGCCCAAGCCATCATACATTGACGACAGCAAACATTATCCGCGCTACGATCAACCTCAACCTGCATCCTGCAGCTATTCGCATCATCCTCAAACTGTGAACTCATCAACACAGAAATCACGGCATCCTCAGTCCAGTTGGCCCCACTGGCAAAATGCCATACATGCAGCAACACATGCACACAAATTCCCAATCCATTCATGCTCGTTGGACGCCCAAATGTCCAGACCGTTGCCACTTGCTGATGAGGGCTCGACAGCTTCATGCAGTTGCACATGCATTCAAATTCTCAAATTCCGTTCATGCGCGTTGTACGTCTAAGCGTCCAGACTGGTACGTTCCTCTGGTTGTAGGCTCGACAGCGATGCAAGGAAAAACGGCCCAGCATCGGCACTCCAGTCAGTAGACACCACAGGGCAGAGGCCCTTCACGCTGTATCGTATGCATCCAAATTCAATGCATCACCCAGATTGCTGCAGTCAGTTTGGTGTAAGCCGTGGTATGCAGAAAGCATAGCCCAAATTCCATGCATGCACAACGAAGGCTCTGTGCTTCCAGACTCGCGTTCAGTGGAGCATGTATTCGGCTGCCAGACATACATCAGTGCAGCATAACAGACTCCATCATCTCGGCCGGGCATCTCCCAAGAATACGTTTTGCGTCCGCGGTGTCAGCTATGGGACATACATCAGGGGCAGCATAACCAGAACAGCCCATCATTGGTCTCTCCGTGGGGAATCCAAGGAGACACACAATAATGAGTGGCATCAAAGCAGTCCCAGTGGTCAGAGCAGTCGTCTAGTCGTCGCGCCAGGGGCCGAAACAGCATTTAGAGCGTGGCATCGTCTGCCATCACAAGCCAGCCAGGACCCAGAGGTGCGAGCAGAAAACTGGCAGTTGTGAGCCATGGCAGAAGCGCCGCGGGCTAGGGCTACCTAGACCCCGAATAGGGAGGGTTGGAGGAGAACCCACAACACGAACGAGAACGCGGGAATGACGGGGCCGGAAAGACCCTCCAAACCCCTGCTTTGGCGTGGTTCCCGGCAGCACTGCCCTGTTTGTGCCCGTCCCCCGATCGCGGTGGTGATGCGGAGCATGAAGATCCTGTCAGGCTTCAGTGTGTTTGTAGGGCAACGGGAGTAGCAGTGGGCTCGCTTCTGGTTCGGCAACAATGCCACTCAGAAACGACAAGACGCTTGGCTTGGAGCTAAGGAACAGCAGGGCATATGACAGTGCAGGCATGTATTGACACTAGAGGGGAGGGTATGGCTATGTACGCTGCAACAAGACGCTGGGGCTATGGTGTAACAAGACTCCATGACCTAGGGAGGAAGGGAGCGGGGGGGGGGGGGGGGGAAAGGGGGGGAGAGGGCAAAGGGAGAGGGGTGGTTGTGGGTTTGTGTGGGGTCGTCCAAGAAGACACTCGAAGCGGCATTTCTTCTGCTTGGCTGTGGATGCTCGGTACTGTTGCAAAAGACGACCTATGATCATTCCCAAATTCGCAGGCTTAAATTCATATTCTTGAATTCAATGCAGGCATGCTGAAAATTCGATGCACCAAATTCGGGTCTTCACGACACTTGCAGTTTGCATGAAATTCAGGGGCCAGGCGCATGAAAAACATCGCTCTCGCCTCCTACTGTACGAGCATGCATCATCACAGTCGTCGGATGTGCTGCTGAGGGGCCATCGACACATGGAAAACAGGAACATAGAGGCCACAAAGAAGTAGCAAAACAGTGCAACATAGAAAGGATCTCCAGGCCCTCAAGAGCAGCGAGACATTTACAATACATGTGCTCCTAGCATCTGTGCAAGAACCGACCTCGGGATGAAAATGACCTTCCCATCCGGGAGCGTGATCGGGCACAAATATCCCTGCCCTTGGCGGCTCACCATTGGGAGGGACTCGTCCAGGTTCAGCATCGTGGGCCCTGGTCCACCCGCAGTCGCTGCCGCCGGAGCCGGAGGCGGTGGGGCGGCGGGTCCTGGTCCTGAAGCTGTGGCCGGGTCTGCAGTGGGAGAGCGTGCCGTTGGCTCCGCATTCATAGCTTCGATCTCCTTCTGAAGGACTTCCAGCTGTTCCTTGACCGCCTCAAGAAGCCCCCTCAGAAAATTGAGTTTATCTGGCAAGTGTTCGCTGTCCCCCTGAATTCTATCCAGGGATTGCTGAGCCCATCGCACTTGTCCACTGAGCTCCTTGATCTGCTTGCTCAAGGCGTAGGAGATGCCTGAGAGGTCTTTCTGGAGCTGCTCGAACCTCCCGTTCATGCCCGTGGAGAAACTCTCTTGGTTTCGTTGTAGCGGAGTGAGGAATCGTTGAAGGTCCGCATAGTCCTTCACCATCTTCTTGGCCACCGCATCCAAAGCTGTAGAGGTGTTGAGCTTGGCCTCCTCGAGGGCAGCCGAGATGGCACTGAGAGCATCTGTGATGCTTTTGTGTTCACTGCCCGCCAGTTTCGACCCAGCAGAGGAAAAGGCTTGCTTGAGGTCGTCCTTGGCACGCTGGATGGTTCTCTGAAGCTCCAGCTGGTGGCTTGCAAGGGTATTCCCCAAATTCGCGTGCATGGCATGGATTGTGTTGGCCACCTCGCCAACTTTCATGACTTTGTTCATGATGGCTTGCAGACGATTGCGGCCGTCCTCGAATCCATCATTGAGCATGCGAGTCAGGGAATCGTCCACGTCAAGCAGGCCCATGGCCCGTTGAAGGGCGTCCGCGCCAGCACTGCGGGTGGCATAGCCTTCAGCATGAACCAGCGCTTGCAGTTGTTGCACGGCCCGGACCAAATCGTCCAAACGTTGCTGGACCCCCGCACGTCGCATGCAGGGGAAAAGGGCCCACCCCCAGTAGTGGCCAAGGAAGAAGAGACCAGCCAACAAGGCTCCCATCAGACCCGTGAGGAGCATGCACCATACTCCGGTGAGATCCGGCCCATCCTCGCCTCCCTCGGGAAAGCGGTGTTGAGCCTGGTACAAGGCAACAGACATGGCGCCTCAGCACGGGAGTCTAGCTGTAGCCTTCAGTTTACTGGGCGCGTCAGCCAAAGGAGCTGCGCAAGCATGCGGCGTTAGAGCTGGCAGGAGGGGGATGCTTGAAGCAGCATGCGTCCTAGTATCTTTATGTGGCAGAAGCGGCTACCCAGAAGTACCCCAAAAGGCCCTCGTCACAAGCATCACGTCCAAGAACCCAAAGAAAACCCTGAAAACCCTGCCCAAAGTACGCGCCTCGTCGATCATGTAATCGAGCCCAGCGGCCCCCAAGCAGCCAAGGCTCAGGCTAGAGACAGGAACAGGAAGCAGTGCTAGGACGGGCAGTGGATACCAAGTGTTGGGCAGAAAATGCTGGTCCCGAGGGTCAAAGGTATCACCTACATCGTCTTCCAAACATCGCATCATCCCCTATGCGCTGGCAAGCTCGCGGCGGCACATGCTTTTACTCGGCTGCACACGCACAACTGCAAATTCCAACATGCTACATGGCTACAAATTCGGAAATCAGTAAATTCAAGGAATTCTCCAGCAGGCGCGAAGAGTGCGTGTGAAGGCTACACCAAAAGAACGAAGACCCGAGCTAACAAGAACCAAAAGCAAACACAACAAAGCACTCTCGTCCATTGCCTATGCTGAATTCGAATGTATCACAGCAGCTGCAGTTCAGTACCAGTAGGAACGGCAAGTCGGACGATGGGCAGCGCTGAAGACGAGGCACTCCCGTCCACATTCATCCCTTCGAGCGATTGTTGTATCTCGCGCAGAGCATCCAAGACATCGTGCAGCTGCCCTCGCACGTGGCCAACATGCTGTATTCCCGCGAGACCAGACACCCGAGAATGGAGTTCCTGAACAAGGGCATGAGTATTGTCCACTGCCCCCAGTCTGGATCGTAGTTGCAGGCCATGGTACAGAGAGTCCAGGGCTTCACCATGTCTTCGTCGGAGTTCAGCAACGTCGCCCCGAGTCTGGTTCAGGAGGTCATGCATCTGTCTTTGCTCTCCAAGGAGCTGCAGCAAAACAGCTTCGTGGGCACGCATTGAATTCATACTCAGTCGGAACATGCAGTACACCGAGTACATCGCTGCCAAGCATAGCCCAAAGGCCACGGCGCAGGCCAGCTGGAAAATCATGGATGGTGACCAAACCTCTACAGCGGTCAGTATCAGAGCCTAGAGCTGCACAGAACTAGCGGATTACCCACTACATGCAGAGGCAAAAACCCGTGAGGGAAATAAAAAGGAGCAGCCAGAGCACCCAAACTCCGAAACACCGAAATAAGAACAAAAAGAGCACAAAGATTACTCCGGATCGGAAATAACACAATCCCAGTAGTCGGGCTCTGGACTGGCTGCTCCCATGCACATGCTGATGACATCCGACTCCGTATCAGACGGTATCGGTATCGTTGCTGGACAGGAATCCTCCAGGTCGATCGTCACAGGAGGGTGGTGTAACAAGGTGCCC